TTAAAATCAATAGATGGCTTTTCATTGTTAACAGATTTTTTCAAAGTTAACAAAAGACAAAAATATTTTCTTTTCTGAACTGAATGCCATAAAACATGGTGAGATTGATTCTAAAAAGAGCAAGGAGAACACGCAGGAGTTTTCAAAAACAAAGGCGTAAGCACATCCGTAATAGCTAAAGAGCGATCAAAATTCCAAATGCAATTCGCCATAGAATAAACGCACACCAGCAACTCTCAGAGTGATATGTCACAGATCTCCATCTGACGGTAATTGCTCACAATAAAACGTATAACATCCAAAATGTTTGATTGGACCACTTAAATCAGTGTGTCACGGGCAGCCACAAAATATGCCTACAGCCGATATATTTGGTGACCGGAGTCCTCGACAAGCCGAAAAACCCACCACGAATAAGCACCAGATGCCAGGAATTTTATACCTCCTAAACATATCATGACTATCACCACAGCCTTGATATCCTACGTTCACACCTAAAAGTCGCCACGAGAAACGAGCGATTCACGCAGCGTAGGGTCAACGACAGAGCGCAGATACCGTATGAAAGCAGATCAGAAGTGAGTACAACCAACAGGAGCAACTAACCGAAAATGCAGCTCAACCAACACGCCCATTCTATATTACACATTAGGTTACACGTTCAAAAATATGCTGGATCAAAGAATTCATGCTACATTATCTAGCAGACGAAGCACGGAAGGAAAGTTTTGTAATGCATTCATTCTGTGGGCTAATGCATAAATATTAATAACATTATCTTATGGGGAAAGAAATTTTATTATTGAAATTAAATTAATGGCAATCTCGGCCTAGATATAAAAAAAAAAGAATTTTTTTTGCGAGCATTTCAAGACTGTCTACTCTTGATTTGAAAATACAAAACAGTAGAAGAAAGTGGGTAACTTTGTGGTTTTCTTTGGGGATGTCAGGGACTTTTATCCTGCCAAACTGAATGTGAAACTGCCAAAAATTATGACGATTTAATGAACATCAAACGATGAACTTCAAAACGTAGAAGGGACACGATGGACAGTCATCGACTTTTTTCGGTCTAACGTAAGAGTTTACAAAGACTACGTTAAGGATTGAAACATCCCAGGAAATAATGTTACGAGAAGCATTGCTGTCTATTAATTGAAAAAGATCAACGAGAAACATAATTTGAAAGTAAGACTTTAATCAGAATTATTCAAAGATACGTTTAGTCAAAAGTAAAGGGGACATGAACAAAAACCTTGTTTCAAAACGCAGAAGAGACAATATGGAGAGAGATTGACTTTATCAATAGGGGGTAAGACCATACTTAGATTAGATAAAGAACTGAAACATCCAAGGAATCAATGGCACAACAAGCATTGCTGTCTATCAATTGAGAGAAACCAACGAGAAACATAAACTTTATCTAATAAAAGGTAAGAGTCTAATCAGTATTATTCAAAGATACATTTAGCCAACAGTACAGGAGATAGAAACGAAAACCTTGTTTTTAAACGCAAAACTGACACGATGGAAAGTCGTTGACTTTTTCGGTCTAACAAAAGAGTTCACGAAGATTAGGTTAAGCATTTAAAAATCCCGGGAAATAATGGCATGACAAGCTTTGCTGTCTATTAATTGAGAGAGAATAACGAGAAACATAAACTTTATCAATTTAAATGTTAGATTTTAATCAGTATAATTAAAAAAGAGTTTAGCCAAAAGTACAAAAGACAGGGACAAGAAGCTTGTTTCACAACGCAGAAGAGACACGATGGACAGTCATCGACTTTTCAATATAGGGTAAGATTTTTCTTCGATTAGATTGAAGATTGAAAAATCCAAGGAATTAATGGCATAACAAGCATTGCTGTCTATCAATGGAGAGACATCATCGAGAAACGTAAACGTTATTTACTTCAAAGTAAATGTTTAACCAGAATATTTTAAAGATAAATTTAGCCAAAAGTACAAGAGACAGGAACAAAAACCTTGTTTTAAAACGCAGAAGAGACACGACGGAAAGTCGTTGACTTTTTCAATAAAGGGTAAGACCGTTCTTAAATTTGCTGTAGTATTAATCTTTTAGAATTCAAATTTAGAGTTGAATCAGAATACTTCCAAAATAAATTTAGCCAAAGGTATAAAGGGTAGAGTCAACAAACCTTCTTTCAGAACGTAGGAAGGACACGATGGTGAATCTTCGACTTTATCTATCAAGGGTAACAGTTTACTTAGATTAGATTATGGATGGAAACATCCAAGGAAAATATGGCAGAACAAGCAATGCTTTCTTTCAATGGAAGAATCCAACGAGAAACATAAACTTTTGAAAATTCAAACTTAGAGTCTTATACAAATAGTTCAAAGATAAAGTTAGCCTAAGATACAAAGGGCAGAGACTACAAAGTTTTTTTCAAAAGTAAAAGGGACACGATTATAAATCATCTTTTCTATCTATCTAAGGTAAGAATTTACTTAGATTCATGTTACTCGATGTAGAGTAAATATGGATAGAGTTCAGGCTGCAGTGCAGGTGATTCAAAATTGATCTTAATCCCGTGCTTAGGAAAATGTCAATAATTTGTAAACGCAGCAGGCATTCGCTGTTCACCAAAAATCTTCTCATTACCAGAGGGTAAGGGTAGCTAAATATCGTTCTGATTGATTTTACCCTTGTTGATTGATTAGGCGAGGCTATATAGCCCCTTCACTATATCCCCTCTTAGATAAGGAGGAGGGCTTCTTTTTCTTTAGAACATATGATTTCAACTCTTGGAACGATACTGGTTATGACGATCATAGCAAATACTACTTTATCCGGCATTCCAATTCTTTACTTGGATTGAATCAAAAGAAGTGACGTAGATTCACTATGGGACTGGAGTATGCAACCATTCCATTTTCTTTCCGGGTCGGGGTGTTCGTAGGGGGGAGGGAGAGGTGTAGATCATGACCAATGATTCACAGATATTATAATAAGAAAAACAAAATAGAAAGTCAATCAGATCGACCTCGAAAAAATTTTGTTACAGTAGATTGAGGCGAGAAAATCTAAGCACTACATCGCAATTCAATGTAAAAGTATTTAAGGAATTTTAATTCTCCTGAATTACTGGGGTTTTGCATTCAATGTATAGGGTCAAATCAGGAGCGGATCCAGACTATAGCAACTGTAGCTCGAGCTATAGTCAAAATCTCCGTGTTTGATTTTCGGAATTCAAAGTTAAGTGTTAATTTTTCCTCTGCTATCAAGCCTCTCAACATTTGAAAGCAGCGGTATAGGTTATCAAATTATTAACAAACATGCATTGCTGGCGGCTCTTGCTAATGGGCATCTGGGGCCATGCACCCTCAAAAAGATTCAAAGGAAATCTATGATATTCATATTTAATTTTGAAGATAGTCTTACTGTGGTTAATTATATAAGTTATATATCTCTTCTAGAAAAAGCTCCTTGCTATCCCGTCTCGTCCTTAGCCTCGCTTCTGGCCCGCTAGTGCCTTGAGCGATGATGTCATTTTACGGGCAAAGTTATTTTTGCCCCTAGCCGACATGCGCACAAGCTAAGTTTTGACCTCGAGCATTGCAAAACGCCGTCTGTGATTGGCTCATTTGGATTCGGGGCAAGAAAAATTTTGCCCATAAAATGACATCATCGCTAAACAACAACCACATCTATTTATGCTTTTTCTTCTGCGCTCCATGACGATCAACATCAAACCATGAATACAGTGAAAAATTTGCAAAGTCGACCTTTCTATCGATTATCGCAATATTGATGGTCTGCCCTCCCAACTGTGAAAGTCACGAGCCGCCACTGGTCATCACTATGCCTCTCCGGATTTGCTCTGGAAAAGGCATCGAAGACAATGAAACTCGTACTATAATTTTTGGCGCGAGCTATAGTGAAGCTATAGTCAGGTTTGAAAATGGCTTTTTAACCAATAGAATATGAGTATCCACGGTACATCTCCGCTCTCTGCCCCCTGTAAAGCAACAGTGGACTATAGCTCGTTTTATTGTCGTTAACATTGGCTAATTTTCGGCACAAGGAATTATTTTACATGTTTTGAGAAGTTCAGAATTTCATATGAATCTCTCTGATTATTACAATTGGCCAGTTTCAAGGGAACCTTATTAAAAACAACTCTTGCCCCTTCTGTCAAAGGGCAACAGGGGCGGTTGTACCACCACACCCCCTTCTCTGGCGTCCCTGGAGATAGAAAAAGGATGTTCGAAGGAATATTTATGAATACGAAGCAACTATAAGCACACATGGTTTTATCATTTGCCCATATAGTGGGCGTGTCCCACAAGCAAGAAGGGTGTGGTTCCGATCGCAAAAAATTTGAGCTATAGTCACCAAAAATCCTGGATCCGTCCCTGGTCAAATGACGTTTCCACATATATTGCAATCAAAGCTTTAACCAAACGAATTCTAAGTTTGCTCTCTGAAAACAGGTTTTCTTTACAGCCGGCAGGTTTTTGATTCACTGCGTATTTATCGAAGTAGCAGAATACTTAAAATAAGAACCCTATCAAAATTATTCAACAAAGCTTATTCGCTTGACGTTAAGAAGAACAGTCTTGAAGATGTCGTATTTTCTTTCTGATAAGGTAAGATAAAAGCAACACTTTGAAAGGAAATAAGAGAACATATTCGATTACCTCAATTGAATGCAATCAGCCTGCGTCCTCTACCTCTGCGTCAAGGCATCGAACGTCTTCTACTTGACGAAGCTTTACGATGCAATACAAAATCCAGTATCGAACAAAGTTGAGAAGTTTAGAGATTTAGTTGATTTATAGATCTAGCTGAAGTCACAATAGAGCACCATCAAGTAGGCCATCTTGGATAGCATAAACCTTCGAAAACATTGCCGAATTCATTGCAGAATGCCAGAGCGAACGATATTATCCTCAAGTTTCCATTAGCATCATCAAAACTTTGTTATGCATCATACTTAATATCTGGTTTATAATTCAGAATATTGATTATAAAACAAATGGATTGCTTATTTATGTTCTACGAAAACCTGGGATACTCAAGGGAGATTCAATTTGAATGAACCACAGGTAGTCCAAAGGGGAAACCAACAATTAAAAATATAAGCGGGAGAAGTGTCTCTTGGGAGTTCACAGGCAATTGCTCCTCCGCGCCTACGATAATATCAAATCTGTGTTAAGAAAAATCAGCAAAACCATTTTTGTCAAGGAGGGCGGGGGGGGGGGAGGGGGGTGCTGTGTCTACTGTCAAGAAAATGTCAAAAATCCAATGATATAGGAATAAATGAAAGGATCATTTTATCAAGCCTTGCATATTGGGGTTGAAAAGGTGAAGAAATATTCGATAGTAAAACTCTTTTTTACCATTAACGGGAAAAGCTGCGTGATGGTATCTAAAATTCAAGAGTAAAACGTGAACAAATACAGGAAACACAGAAAGAAAAGGATGACACTTTTCTCTAAAAGTATGCCTTGTAAATTGGTTTCTAAATACGGCAGGTTCCGAGCTAAATGTCCGGCAAAACGTCAGAATGACACAACAAATAAACACAGATATAGTTTTCTCAAACGTATATCGTTGTATGACTTGTGCCACTAAGCCTTTCACAAGAGCGAAGTGTACGTGCTCACAATGCTAGCTCTAACTCTTAACTAACTCAGGATTCGTAGAGAACGATATATATATGTTAAACTAGTTCCTTGTACAAATAAAAGATGTAAATGTGCTAATCTTAGGTGTCTACATAAGAGGAAAAACAAGCTAGAAAAACAATAGGAATGATTCTAGATACGTATGTATAAGCTGAGTCAATCCATAGTGTAGTTCTTAAAATAATACTATAATAGAGGGTGGGTTTCCTTAGTGAAAGTGTTCCTACTAGTATACGCAATGCAACAAAGAGTGTGATGCAAGTTGACGCAAAAGAGTATGCACTAACAAGTATGACTAACGCTGGGATAGTGGATGAATGGGGCGAAGGAAATGCGCAAACGAGGCAGGTAAGAGCGAGGCTTAGCGCTTGGAGTAGCGGTATTACAGCCTTATAAAACTTGATTAAACTACAACTGTCTGAGCGTACAGTAGGGTGAGCGAACTTAATGAACGGGTTCGAAACACCGCTAAACTTCTCTATAGCAACCGGGACAAGCTCCTCTATTAAGAGGCTGAAAAGTATCACGTGGTGCAAAACAAATGACCAAAGAAGAGAGGCTTGTTGGCTGACACCCGTCGAGCGTATAGAGTAGTTTCTTCTAGATTCTAATTGGTAACAGTTTAATCTAGACATATGTAATTAACCACTTACCAACCTTACGAACTTGATGACTTGTCTTTTTAATAACATGAAGTTAATGCCATCATGCAAGTTTCGTGAATTTCATTTAAACTGAGTTACGAAAAAGTTTCCGGACAAGTTTCCGGGTCTTATTCTGCATACGCAGTTGAAAAGTTACCCGGGCTCAACTCCCTTTCGCATTTACAATTCATTCACACATACAACTTTCCAACTGCGTTTGCGGAATAATGTAGCCAACTGAAAAAGGCGCCAGTCTTTTCTGCATCTTTTTTATAAAGCGTGTGCTTTCTATTAGACCCAGAAGTTACGGTAAACGTTTTCTGGACGAAAACATAAATTTTTCGATTTCTTCACATTCTGGTAGCCGCACTTTTAAGACACACAGTGATTTTAAGGCATCCGCACTCTTAAGGCACTCATTGATACCATGTTTAAAACTAGCAGAAGTTTTGAAAATGCAAAACATTCCATGTAAACGCAGGTTTCCATAACTTCTTTATCAATGTTTTTAGTTGAGGTCGTGAGATAGTTTGACCTGTTAAGCCGATTATCCTTGCTTAGCGGTTTTGGTCACATGTATCATTTACAATATTGAAACTAACAGAAATTTTGATAATGGAAAAAATTACATCCAAACGAAGGTTTCCATAATTTCTTTTTCAAAACTTTTAGTTGAGGCCTGAAAATCTCTTGACCTGTTAAGCCGATTATCCTTGCTTAGCGGTTTTGGTCACATGTATCATTTACAATATCGCATGGCACATCGATATATCCAATGTACGGCCGTGTTTATCTGTGGATCTGCGCTTTCTGCTGATGCAAGTCAGATTTTGTTGCCTCAAATGCAAGGGTATAAAATAGCTTTTGAAGGTGGTACACTCATTTGAGCAAAAAACCAGGCTGGAAAGTATCATTTTACATTAACTACAAAAAATTTCGTCGTGACAAAATTTTGACGAAAATTTCTTCGACTAAATTCAAGATGAGACGAATTTTGTCACGACGAAATTTTTGCATTAAAGTTTTTGGAAATTCTAATAGGAAAACTATCCATGGGGTCAACAATCAAATTTATGTCTCTTTTCTATCTATTCCATGTAAATCACGTCACTTCCTCCTTTATATCATCTTCATAATTATCTCTATCGTAGGCATCATCATCATCATTGTCGGTTCTTGAACTAACTTGGTTTTGACTATCATTCGATAAAAATAGTTCTAATTTACTGGCGTAATGAGGGGCGGACGTCACCCCCAACAGCAAAAAGTCTCTTTGGTTTGGTCTAATAAAGGGTGATGATCCTAATGTTTCCTGCTCAACTCACCTTTGCCCAACACCCCCCCCCCCCCCCCCCGAGTCTTATTATCCTGGCCACGCTACTGCTCTAACTGTGTTTTGTCGCCGGTTTCAGAGGATTCCAACTCTGTCTTTTTTAACTCAACTGTACTATTTCCTTCTTTCGTTCAAGGAATTTGCACTTTGCAACCCAAGTTTTGAACTCTACAGGGAACCGATTTCGAACTTTTCCTTTAGGAGATGGTCTTATGTTTTTCGAATCTTATACTTATACTCACACCTATACTTATAATTATACTCCATCTATAAATTTTGATACCATGTAGATTAGAGTAGAGACTTTTTGAATGCTAAAGGCATCTATATTGATCCCAAGTTTGCATAAACTAAGAAAATAACCGCTTTAATTTGGGTTTCCTAATTTGGGTTTCCCGCTCTGTGTAAAAGAGCAGCCTCGGAGGATAAGCCCAATTTCGAACGGGTGCTCAAGCCCCGAAGTCTCCACAGAGTCGGTACCTATTGGACTGAATATGAAGCAAACTGCATGGTTTTGCCTCTTACGATACTGATAATATCTGTGTTAAAAATTTTAGACGAAATTTTGTCACGACGAGATTCTCAAAAGTTGTCCGAAATATTTTTGACGAAGTTTATCCGCCGAAAATTTATCTGACGAAAATTTTTTTTTGTTAATGTACAATATTTGCGAATCTTCATCGCTTCAAGCACTAAAATTGGCAGGAAGTTCGAAATTGGTCATTCAAGCAGCTTTTCATAACTATTAACTAACTTTTGTTTAGATGTTTACCTATGGGATATGCACCTATCAAAATTACTTCATTCAGCAAAAATTTAAAAAAATATCAGTCTTAGAAACACACTTTTTGGTGAATGGAAGTTATTTTTGTAAACCAAGGTGCCAAAACTGTAGACTGGAAGAAATACGCCTATAACGTGATTTCCTGGGTATTTCACAGATATCATCAATTTGATAAGTCGAAAACTTAAACCAATACTGAAACCTCTGTTAAAGGGTCATCAAACGCAATCGATTTATACTTTTCTTGGATGAAAATAAACTGTTGTACAAATGAATTCAAGATGTTGGGTAAAACTTGGGGAATGCAAAATTTGTAATGTAGTGGAATAAAAGTTAAGAATTGAAATAATATATGAAGCAAAGTCAAGGGAAAATTGAGCATGCTGGGGGAACCTATTATAAGTTTTACCTATACAAACTTTGATGTGAAAACACAGGGTCTTCTTTTTTGGTTGAAAAAGCTGCTCAAATGACATTTTCCCTTATGGTGGATTGAAAATGCAGTCAATGCTGGCAAGCAACTTGTTAAACAAACAATTGAATTTCACCCTTAACAAACTAAGAGTCAATACATGCACAAACATGCACACAAAAGCAAAAACAGCGCAAGCTCCCCTTGGGTCAGTTCCCGCTTTTGCTGCTTGCTGCTCCCTGAGCGCACCCTTGTGAAATTCTTTCAGTGCTCATTTCTCCCTGAGCGTACCCAAGCAAACTGGGATGGAATCGTAAATTTTACCCAATGACAGTTTCGAAGTAAGTTACTTGCCAGCAAACACCGCATTTCTAACCCATTCACAATCAAAATTATTTACATGAATGCATTCTGTATCATCTGTCCATCTTCTCAACAGTTCTTCATTTGATCTTCTTTGCTTCATCTTCTTGTGAAAATCCTTTTGTGCATCTTCTTCTTCTGCAACGTCTTCTTCCGCCTCTTCTTCTTGTGCATCTTCCCAAGTGAAGTCATTCCTCAGAACAACTGACCTTTAAAATTATAAAAATAACGTTCAAAAAATGTTCAGGAAGTCAACAGCGAAGGAATGAAAGATTTAGCCAAGCGTCAAAGAGAAAAGAAGGTCTACAACATTCTAGAAGCGCAAGGTTTTATCTAAAACTTTTTGCAAATCAAACAAGATTATAACCTATTCTTCAAGATCAAGTAAACATTTTTCAGTAAATGAAATAGAGAGGCAAAAAAATTACATCTTTTTCGAAAAAAATATAAATAAGTAAATATTGAAAATAATAAAAACATTTTCACCCACAATGACAAGCAGGCTATTATTAGCAAAAGCTATGAAATTCACTCACCAATTATATTCTCTGAGAACGACTCAATAACTGAGGAATCGCTGTCTTTCCAGCAGCAAATTAATGGCTGCAGGGACTTAAAAGCACATAGTGAATGGTGATGGACTTCAAGATTCAGAGCATTTACCTATGCCAATCAAACAACGACCTGTAACACATAAAAGTGGCCTTTATTAAACGTAAACTGCTTGTTTAACTGCTAAAAATACAAGAAGAACAAAGGCTGCATCTTAACAAGTTGTTTGAGAGATCAATAAACCCACAAACGGGTATTAAAAGTATCATTGCAATATAGTCAAGAGAAATATCAATGACTTTGGAAAAGAAAAGTTAATTGATTGACTTTTTTTAATAAAAACTAAAAGCAAAAAGAGGCAAAGTATTTGGTTTGTCGCAAGGGTCCAAAAAGTCACAAGAATGTCACAAGATCAGGCCATGCTGGGAATAAAATGGCAGGGGTGCAATGAATCGCACTCCTTGTGGTGCCAAGGCGTGCAATGGTGTGCTATTGCACCAAAGTACTTAATAATACAGTCAGCTGTATATGGACTAGACTACATAACTTTATCATAAGAAAACATAAGCAAGGCTAGTCCAATTAATACATTTTATCAAACAAGCTTTATTAACGTCAAACCCAACATATTAAAGAGAAAAACATTAACAATAAGGTAGGTTAATTATTATGTAATCCTGCAGTTTATAAACCCTTCTGGTCTGCTTCTCCTGACAATTTTTTTTTCAAAATTTAAGAATTCTAACTGTGTTTTCACCATAAAGAAAACTTATCTGTTGACTAGTGTTAGAACGAATTAAATGGTTAATTGCATGTTTATATTTTGTAAGAAAGCTACAGTAGCTAAATCCTCACAATTCAAAGTCTCTTAATTTTGGAACATTTTTGGCCACATTTTATTAGTAAAAGTTTCTAAAGAGTTTTGTATTTGCATACAGATTAGAAAAATGCACATAAAGTAAACTGTATATAGAGGAATTGTGAGTCTTGAGAAAACGGAATTTTACTGATCGCACTTGCAAGATACACTCGTAAACCACAGTGTAATCTGGGTCAAATCATTTAAAGCTTAAAGATCAATAAGCCTGTTTAAATAAACAAAGCCTTACATGTGCCATGGGGTTGTAACTACAGTGGAATCCCGATATAACGAACTCTGAAGGGAACCAGAAAATAGTTCGTATATCGGGAGTTTGTTAAACCGAGAGATAATGTTTTTTGGGGGTCATTTCGCAGTTCACGCCTAAAAAACCTGTGGTGGGCTTGTTTAGGCTATCTCCAACCTCTGTGCACATGTACAGCCATACATGTACCATTTAACTCAAAAAACCAATCTGAATTCAAATAATACAACTGGCTGGTCATTGAAAATGAAAATCTTAATGTTCCTTTTATAACTTGGGACCAAGAGATTGGCAAAGCTGGTATCACTTCGATCCTAGTTGGTGCCTGAATCAGGCACGTAAATAATAGGGGGGCGTGGGGGGCGTGACGCCCCCCCAAAGTTTGGAAAATCCAGTTACAGTTGGAAAACATAACGGTTGACTTGGAATTTTTTCTTAGGACCAAACTTGTGAATTTTATATTTTAAGAAGCTTTTTTATTTTAAATGTAAAAATTCTAAACATTAAAATTCACAGGATGAAGCTGACCCGTCTCCACTGGATCCAAATTGCACAATTGCCCTGTTTGCTTTCTTTCTGACGGGAGTTGAATCAAATTACGAACAGGCAAGGTGAATTTCCGGATAAGAAACTTGAAACTTTACAGTTTGGAATAATAATTCCCGTATTGATCAGAAAGTATTAGAGTGGGAGTTTTTTAAGAAACTACGAGTAGTTAATTCAATAAAAGATTAATAATCTTTCAGTACTAAAAATTCTCAACGCTTCTTATAAAAACGAGTTTATGCTAAACTCCCCCTGTTATTTGTTAACGCCCTTGACTCCTTATCATAAATTCCTATGACAAAACTGCTGTGAAGCAAGAACACATTGCAAAATTGCAGTAGAAGTGTTTGATCAAAGAAGAGTGTTTCATCTTTCGGATCAGGCATATGCACAAGTTTGTTCTCAAATCATCATTTCAATTGTAATGAATGAAAAGGCATTTGGCCCTCTGAAAATTGTTAGTAGTTTTCTTCGATCAAGAACAAAAATTAAAGGCTCAAGTTCTTGGTGCTTCTATATCGTGAAAAAATGTATTTTAGATAAGATTGATCTGCGCCAATTGATTAATTGATCTAAAAGAATACTTCTAATCATTAAGTATATCTAATACTGGTTTTGCTTAAATGTTGCTTTACTTCTTACTGTAAGTTAAAATGTCTGTTTCATGTTGATCAAAATTTAGAGATTTAGGCTTTTATGCTTTAGGCTAATTATTGAGTAAAGTTTTGGTAATTATAAAGAAAATAGAACTATGGTGTTCGGGCTATTTACAAATATCAATTTAGTAGGTACAGTAGATTTACTGGTCAAATGAAAAATTTCTTACTTAGATTGGAATTTTCATCCTTCCACGCCCCCCCAAAATTAGCAACTTGTTTTCGTCCCTGGCCTGAATGATGTCTTCAATTACTTCACATTCTTACTTGTCTTTTTCTGCTTCTCCATCTGGGTCTCTCAATAAAGTTTTGTCGTCGCTTATTGCTAATGCCTTATATGTAAGAAGGTATTTGTTAGTGTCAATGTACTCATTCGCAGTAATTTCTGACGCAATCAAACTTTCATCTCGTGGTCTGAGTATCAGCCAGTACTTGAAATGTATCATCGGCATGTTTTGCCGATTATAAAAATGATTTCTCCCCAAGAGAAAGTGATAAATGAATACCGAAAATAAATTTATGAAAGTTCGTTATATCAAGGGTAATTATGATGAAGGAACCTAAAAATGGTTCGTGATAACGAGAGTTCGTTATATCCGGGGTTTGTTATACCGAGAGAATTTGTAAGGAGTTTGTTAGGCAGAATCCAAGGGACCAGGCATTTAGTTTGTTATACCGGGAAGTTCGTTATATCCGGGGTTCGTTATATCGTGATTCCACTGCAGTTATTGCAAATGAGACAAGCGACCACAACTGCAAAGCAAGGATTATCGGCCTAAAAGGTCGAGCGATTTTCAGACCTCAACTCAAAACTTTGATAAAGAAATTATGGAAACCTTCGTTTACAGGGGTTTTCGCCACTTTCAGAACGTCTGTTAGTTTTAAACATGGTATCATCGTGTGCCTTGAAAGTCCGGCTACTAGAATCTGAAGAAATCGAGAAGTGGATGTTTTCATTCAAAAAACGTTTACCATAACTTTAAGCAAATTAGAATATTCGCCAAATTTTTCGTCAAGTAGAAATCAAATAGAAACGATTGCGTGATTATCACCGTTCGTTCATAGTTGAATTATGATAAAAAAATTACATTGGGCCATATTGGTCACTTTAGAATAAAGTGTTATTTGCAGATTATTTAAGGCGTGCGATAAACTGCACTTCTGAGCAACGGAAGGCGTGTGCCAAGGCGTGGGCGTGCGATCGCACGCCATTCCCAGCATGGCCTGCAAGATGGCATCTAAGTAAAAGTGTATTTTCATTCTCAAGGACAAGCAGGTTATTTTGTAGCAGAAACTAAGAATATAACTAATTGCCAATTACTTTGTTTAAAAATAAAATATTTAGTATAATTATATAAGATATTTAAGAAAATATGCCATTAAACAGAAAAAATTTCCATTCTCAATGACAAACCGGTTATTCTGTAGCATAAACTTCGACTTTAACTCACCAATTACTTTCTCTCAGAATAATTCAAGAAATCAGGAAGCAATTTCTTTCCACTAATCAATAAATGGCTGCCAGATGAATCGAATTCAAAGTAACTGAAGATGTTCTATCCGACAGAGTTGATTTCGAACTTCAGAGAATAGTCTTCTGGAACTGAAACGCTTGTAACAAGATTTGATAACCACTGCCTTTATCAAACAAGGTCATGAAGAAATGATTCCACAGCAAATTCCCATAATATTCTCAAACTTTATGCAGTGGCAATCTCTTTCATCTAGCGAGCTGAAAAATGAGATGATAGCCTTAAAATAGGTAGATTTCTTTTGTAATTGAAAAAAAATCAAAACAAAGACTAGGATTAATTTTCAAAGCATGTCAGAGAGTATAAGGAGCCTCATTATTGAAAGAAATTTATTAAAGTTATTATTTGAATTTCATTAACAAAAATTGATAGCAAAAACAGGAAAAATATTGATATGTAACAAGGGTCCAAAATATCACAAAATCTCTCCTGTCAGTAAATTCAAAAAAGAGGAAGAAAAATTTAATATATATGTAAAATATGGAATAAAAGAAAAACAATTCTTATTGACAACCAGTTTACTTCTTACCAGAAACTATGAATTTAACCCACCAATTACTTTCTCTCAAAACTACTGCAGAAATCAGAAACAAATTTCTTTCCAGTATTCAATTAATGGCTGACGGGTCAGTCCAGTACATTCTAAATGGAGCTGTTTTATATGACAGAGTTGATTTTGAATTTTAGGCCAAATTCATCTGGAACTGAAGACCACTTGTAATAAGATCTGATAACTGCTGCCTTTTTCAAACCACTGCCTTTTCATACCGCTGCCTTGATTCTTCATCAGCAATGACAGCTACCCAGTGTCTCCATAGGAAAAGGCCGAGACAAAATGCTTGATTCAAGATTGAGGAAATGTCTCCAGCGAATCAAGATAACATTATTTTGTAGTGCCGATGTCCTCTTTTAATGACCTGAAATGAAAAATGGTACATCAATAAACAGACAACTGACAGTTCCAAACAACTGGCTTCCTTTTAAATTAAGTAAATGTTTTTCAATCTTTCAAGAAGCATTGAATGCATTAAACTGAAAACTAGGGTTGAACAATTTATAAATATTTAGAGGTTAAACAAGGCTATGAGTTTTGACACATGTAGGATTTGAGACTAAGTTGCTTTGTATTGCAGAAAACATCTTGAACCTCACAGAAAAAGGGCCCTTTTAACAAAACAAGCATGAAATCTTTAAGAAGCAAACATGTATAAATGCAACATCAATTTTATTTGACTTTCATATTCTATTCAGGGAGGAATGTACCAGGGAAGAGGTGTAGGGAGTGCAACAGCCCCAAATACTTTTGCATCCTTCGGCATACTTTGCTTCCATTTGGTAAAAATCATCTTTTGGTAGTCAGTAGTGATCAAGTAGCGCCAAGATTTTACTGTATTTATCTTCTTATCTTCATTATCTTAAAGATCAAATTTTAAGAATGGGTGTTTCCCTCATTTTTCAGTGACCTGAAGGGTGTTGCACTAAAATTTATTAACAACCAACACCCTCCCCCCCCCCCTCCAGTTCATGCCATATTAAATCCATCCCTAATTTTATTCCATATTTCTAATTAATTTGACTTTCTTGATTTGCACCCATTCTCTTGTTTATCTAGCCAATTTATACCCATTGTGTGTTTTTTCACTTATATAGGCCATATTTAAACATACATAGATAGCACTCCAACCTGGTGTAGGGAGTTAGCCAAAGGATAAACAAGTGTAAATGATGTCAGCGGTATCAACACAGCCTATTAAAAGCAAAGCATACTTGTTTTTCCATTAAAGTATTATTCATGAAGCAAAATCCCCTCAGCACAAACTACAGTTGAAAACTAGGATCCAATATATGAATTAGGATAAAGACAGCCAGAAAGAGTGAACAATCAAGGGCCTATTTTCTGCTTTTCCAGGGAGTCAGGTTTCATTGATAGTTTAGCAATGGAGATGAGCTTTTAAACTTTTTTGCCCATTTGAACGAGCTATAGTGACTGAAAAGTGACAGTGATGCTTCACAATGCAGAACTAGAGTCCTGGCATTTTTCTTTAAATATTCTACTTTGCTTACAGAGTAGTGTGGTCAATGGTATCAAATGTGTTTCCCCCCTTAACCAGTCCTGGTAATATGAAATTTGCAGCCTGCTGGTTAATCGCATGCCTTGAAAGTTTAGGCGTATGATGGCATGCGATGATGTTTGATCAATGAAATGGAGACCTTACGATTTTTGTGAAGACCTGATGTCATTTGTATTAGAATGTGTGTATCACTGCTTGAAAAATCGTATGAGGTTTTTGTAAAACCAAAAAGGTTTTATGGAACTTTAGAAGAAGTTTCTTGAAAACAAAATAATTTAACAAAAAGGATACAGGTTTTTAAGGCTCTGTTGCCATTACTCCGTTTCTGTATGAGAACAGATTCAAGTGAATCTGTTTTTGAATTTGAGTTTCATTAATACGCTCAAAAACGCGTCAATCGCACGCCTTATATTACAAGGACTGCTTCACCGCATGTTTGCTAAATCCACAATGTCTGGGAAAACAATGGCTCCCAGGTAATAGTTATACCCACACACTGTCTGGATTTTCTTACTTGCATCATAGAGACCTGCACTTATTGCAAAGTTTCTTATTTGCCAGCTGCAGATCAGGTAGGGGGTGTCTCTTTCCTTACATATTTCATGAGTTCTCTACTGTGCCACATTAATGCCTTATTATTTTTTCTTCAGGGGTGCATGAATTTTCAGGATTGATTAAAAAGGCCCCTGGCATGTGTCTGCCTTATTGTCTGGACCATTAACAAGAACTTGAGCAAGAAGAAAATGGGAGGCAGTGAATACTGGGCAAAAGCTTATTGAAATAGCATTTAACATTGTATCTAGGTTGATGTTGAATAATACCAACTATTCCCAGCAGCGTTGGTTGTAAAGGAGTCTACTTGGCCACACTGGAGAAGTGAAATCATATCAAAACACTTCCTTGCAATTTGAGAAAGGAAGGCACGCTGAAGTCTTCTCATAGTTTCATTCCACACCTGCATATAAATTTTCTGCCTCATTTGGACACTATCCAACATTTATACTCTGATAAGCGTTGGAGAAAAGCACTTCAGCCGCACTGGGTTATGTTCTTTCTTGCATGGACAGGTTCACTTTGAAAATTTGAGACTTGGCACCTGAAATCAGGCACACTTAGAACTTTTTATTGTAAATGTTAAATCTTATAAATGGGAATTCGCAGGCCACTATGCAAAATTGTAGAGATGGGAAACTGGTGTGTTTCCTGTCTGGTACTTCAGTATGCAATGTTTGTACCATCTTCAAGTTCTTGATAATATTATGCATGCCAAGTGAAGTATGAATATCATTATGCAAGGAAAGAGTTCCCCTCAAAGACCAAATTTACAGTGTAGCCATCTACCATCAAAGTTTTGCAAAGATTACAAAAATATTATTTCCATTCGCATGAAATAGCAGATATATCACAAGTTATTTATGAAGTTTTAAAGACATAAATATTGAAAATTGTTCCTTTTCATACCTTAAATGACGATTAAATTTGAAAACATCTGACGCCATTTTCTTCATGCCAGCCCAAGCCATGCCCCTTTCTCGTAATGGTTGCCGGGTAGCCCTCCTCCTCAGTTGACGATTATTAATTTTGGTACCAAAATGCAAAATTTTGGTACCAAAATGCTAAAGAAAATGTTTTAATATATTTTTTTAAGTTAGCAGGGTTTTAAATTCAGACCTTTCCAAAGCAAACGACGCAATTGAAGTGACATGGTTATTAGGGCGTGATTATAAAACTATTTACCGATATGAAAGCTCATTGGCACTGCCAGGCACCGCGCGCTATAGCCCCCTTCTTTTTTGCAATAATAGGTTAGAATTTTTTAGAAAGCTTACTCTATTGCAGCTTTAGAAAGTTTACTCTAACGAATCCAGTAGCAGCAGTTCTTCTTGCCTTTTTGACTCATTTTTGGTGTCTTATCTTTAAAAAATAATATATGAAAAGAAGCAAGTGTTTTCTAAACGGGATATTTTCCGGGTTTCTAAAGGGCTTGGCCAACCCACTTTTACACTGATGAGCGGTGCCGGGTCACTGCATGACAGTTTTGAGAACAAGTTCCAACTGGTGTTTTGGACCCGATTCCAGTACTAACAACTGATAACAGTGAAGTTGACGTCAACAGAATCAACACAAAGATGACATCAAAGTTTAGTCAAATAAGAAAATGTTTTCGTGTTGCAGCAAAGCTGACAACGATATCATCGTAGATCATTGCATTGAACAATCAAACTGCCAAGAAAAGCTATAATATGCTATACCTATGATGTGAAAATGACTGACAAAATTTTCAACAAGATTCTTTAGGGACTTTGGGGCTCAGCCCTGTTTGAAGCCACAGCAAAAATCTCATTGATAAGAAATTGAAACTTGCCTTACTATTAACGTTTTTAATGGCAGTCAAATATCATTCACGTACTTACTCTATCACACATCAAGATATTCTTAAAATGTTCTATTGGCTTTTGAACATATGGTTTTCCGGACAAATTAAAAATAAAGCCTGTCTCAAAATAACCGAGTCACGTGTGGTTCTTTCGTTGAAAAATCTTAATGGTGGAAATGGATTTCAACTCACCTCTATACCCTCAACTCAAGTTTTGTCTCGACCTCATACTAAAATTTGTCTTCATCTTGAGCTTAAGTTTTGCCCTATCCATAGACATTCGCCTTAATCTTTAACTTAAGTTCTGACTAAACCTTAAACTCAAGTTCTGTCTTCACCTTAAGCTTTCTCTTCAAGTATGGTCATACGTTTTTTTGCAAACACTTACCTGAGCCATAACCTTATGAAAATAATTGATTTTAACAGTAGGGAGTACTTTATCAAATATAAATATTATTAGAAGAAATATAACAATATATTGCTATGAACGAGAATGCAAAGGTAACCAAATGTAATGTGTGCACATTCTCAACAAGACCTTTTGAGCGACAGAGCACCGCAAGTCTGTGTTGGGGCAGAAAGTTATATATACATAAATGTTGGTGACTGTATCTTTTTAGCGAATAACAGAATGTTTTTGGACCTTGCCAGAATAGCTAGCATTTGATGCAGTCTGGCTTGAGACATTTGGGGCGGAGAAGAAACAATTACAAGGAGGAGAAATGTGGACCTGGATAGTAAATGCCACCTTCACAGGCGCTTTTTGGGCATCTGTCAGCATAAAGTGGAACATGATGGTACTGAGACATAGAGACAAATATAAACAAGATATACTGTAACTTCAGCAACCAGATTCCTATTGGCAGTGAAAGCACAGAGAGTCAGAAAGTAAAACGTTTCGAGATGAATTTTCGTTTCGAAATATATTAAGAGATTGTTGCCGTTGTTACAGCTAGGATATAATCCCTTTCTAACCTTTACTTCACTTGTTTTACTACTCATCTGAACCGCATTTTGCATTTCTTGCTAGGTTCTCCAACTTCACGCTACAATCTGTCTTTAATCAAAATTTAAAATTCAACTAACATAGCATTGCAAGGCATTCTTGTGAATTACAGTACATGATTCATTTTCATAGCCCGTACAAACATTTGAAAAAGTTAAAAGAGCTTAATTTACTCTTAATGAATGAAATGGAATTTAATGAATGGAAACACAATAAAAGTAGCTTGGAGGGTATTTTCGGCTAACATCCTTGGCGAACTTGTTGCAAATTGGTCTTTCGCAGTTTTAAAAATAAGATACACAGTTATAGAGCACATTAAAATATCAAGCATTGAAGTTGATGCTCCATTTGATCCTACAGCAAACTTTGTTTTGACTTTAGGCCAAACAGAGAATACCAACTTGCTTTGAAACGTAAAATGTACACTGTATATGTCAATCTACTCCAGCTGATGAAAAATTTTGGATGTTAAAGCCTTCTTTAAGATGTATGTCAAGGGTATATTCTTCTTTCTGTTATTTCAAAAAGTACTTCTTCGTGTTTCATTTCTAGGTAACTTTTTACTCTTTATCCCCCATGGTTTGTGCATGGCTGAGAATTACCTTCCAGAATTTATGTGAAAGTTCATAGACTTTTTTAATACCCTATGTTAACTACAAAATAAACTCAACAAAACAACTAAACGACACATTATTACCAGGCTATACTTAAAAAGTGGCCTACTTTTTTTTCATAAGAATCAAAGTTTGAAATGATCAATATTGAAATGTCTTTCAAATCAAAGAAGGTTGCTGCTTTTTCAATCTTTCGTTTGATAACATAGTACAATACATAATCTAGATTGCTTTTTGTATACAATTTAACTTTTTTTCTTCCGAAAACAGTAATCGAATTAAGATAATCACAACGTAAACAGGGTTAGGCCTAGAAATAAAATCACTGTCACTGTGATTTAGTTTCAAAACAAGGAAAACCCACCTTGCACAAATAAGGGCGGTCTGGACAGGGTAAATGGAGGGGGGGGGTCAAGAGAGCTTTTTTAGTAATAGAATCATATATTATAAAACAGGAAAATATCAATTTCAATTTCAATTTCATCAAGGACAATTTCAGCATACCTATCCCTTTACACGAGTCTATTCCTGACCATTTGCCTTGGTTATGTTGCTTATTATAGAAACAAAGATAGCATAATACTCGATGACGCAGTTTTAAAACTGCATTTAAAACATAATCGAATTGATATTATAAATCGGTATCTGATACTGTTAAATTAGTTTCTTTCCATATCCTGTAATTGTTTTCTTTCTTCATCCTGTTGCCATTAACAAACTGGCTTCTACAAAACCACCCACCTTTTCAATACCAAAAGGGAATCTTCTTCACGATATCAAGCTTTTTCCTACACTGCCATCAGCCTTTTTCTTAAGATGCAAAGTGCACAGGCTTAAAGGTCATGCTTGATGACAAAGTGATTGGCAAGTCAAATGAATGTTACGCCTGGCCTCTGAGAACGTGAACTGGAGCCCCTTCTCCTCGGCTCCAACTGCAATGACAGCTGGTAGAGTTCTTCATCGGTTGTAGCAGAATCACTGCCAACTAGGTACGCAATTACCTGAAATAACACAGAATTTCAAGCTACTGAGGTAAGGCTACAAGAAACCAACGCTCAATATGACTGGGTGTCTATAGGAGAGTTATGGTGTTTCTTAAGCTCTGTATAACAAACCCGGTGACCTTTTTTCTTTGGAGGGGGGGGGGGGGGGTAGCACATAACAGGAACAGCACATTTATCTTGAACTGGTGGATGGATTGTCCTTCCAAAAAGGGAACTTATAACTTATCTGGTATAGAGAATTTAAGCTTGCAAGGACGTAGGGAAAGGAAAAAACTCCTGAGTCATTCGATTTTCGAGAAGCGACTTCCCGGTCAGGACGGTTTTCATCGAGCTTGTTAGAAAAGGTTGATTTAGCAAAAATGCTGACGTCGTTCAGATGAATATCTAACTATATAAAATAACTCATTTTGTACCAATTTAGATCTATCCCAGAGTGGAGAGGAAATATTGATCGTAGAAAATTTTTGCTTTGCAAAAGTTAAAACAATTCTGCAAGAATTGGCTCAATATAAAAGTTTTCTGGCAGAAAAACCAGGAAGAGGCCCGAAGCAGCCCAAAGTAGCCCGAAGAAGCCCGAAGCAGCCCGAAGAAGCATACCTTTTCATCAGGTTTTATTTTGTATGGTGTCTGTTGATAACTTCTTATCTCTTGTATGACATTTGCAATCTAAGTAAACAAAAAACGAATTCAATTTTCTCTCTCCGGGTCACAACATTACGCTATAGATAAAGCAAAACTTGAACAACTGACAGCTAAAAACAAAAATAGCAACTTAACATTCCGTTCAATGAATTGGTCAGATATGTCTGCATCAAACTGCATGTCGGTCTTTGTGAAGAAATCAAGTAATTTGACCTGTAGATGCTTGGAAGTGTGAATAATTCAACGAGGATCGTTAATCGCAAAATTCTTTTGTAGTCATGAAACAAAATAACAAATATTTTCACCTTAATAAATCTAGTAAAATTATTTTTAGTTTCTTGCTACTATGAATATTATTTCCTATTCTTTAAACAGTTTTACCAAAACAAGGCGGCACATTTTTCATATACCACGAGACCGCGTTTTAAATACGTAAAAATGAATTCATTCACTAAATTTCATGATTTCTTCACAAAGTTTGAAAACCACACCGGACTTAATAATCTAACTGTCAGAAAACTATAAAGCCTCCGCCTGGCATGGTTTTGAGAGAAAAATGCTTAAAGTATTGCTAGAATTATAGACATGTATCATGTTCGCTTTTAACACGTGAATTTTTCCGTTAGACATAAGGCACTGTATAGGTATTAAGGTGTTAGGTGTTAAACTCTGGAATGATATTCCAATTCACATTAAAATGTCAGCTTCTTTAAATACTTTCAAATCAAAACTGAAAGAATGGTTATATTCTATGTCAATATTGAAGAAATTTCTAAGAGTTTCTAAAAATTTATCTTATTTCTCGTTTCTTCTGATGAAAACTGTTCATTGGAGGCTTTCTGGTTTTTGTATTGTATCTGCATCAAAATCTATTTAGGTATATTTGTCAATGAAATTGAACTGAACTTTGCACTTAGGATTATATTTAATATAAATATTAATATGGATAATATATAATATAGATAACATAGTTAATATTAATAAAGATAATGCTCGTGAAATGCATAACACCCACCATTCTCATCTTCGAGAAATTTATCAATCCAGCATCATTGAAATTTGGTGTTCCTTCTTCGATAAATGCGAGATCAGTGAGGTAATAGCCAAGATAGGGGACACACGGCGGGTCACAACTACAAAAAAACATTTTATCAAATCATGGCACGGATAGTTTATGTAAATATTTCTGTTACTCATAATAAAATTAATATTCATCCAAAAGCAAGGCTAGTAAAAAACATGATTTAGCTTCTTGGTTAAATTAGAAAATCTCAATTTTTAATTTTTGATTTAATATAAGCGAAGTAATTAAAAATAGTGATTGAATGGTTCTCCTATTGATATTAAAGTAGTTAATGATTGGTAAAGTCGATCTTTTCGCAGTTGTTTTTTTCATAGCAAGCCTTCCGCAGACTCATTCAACAAATATATGTCATGTGCTTCAATGACGCATAGGCTAAGTTAGACTTGAAAATATTAAGGTTCTGTAAGTCGTCTTTAAAGGTGCTCGGCACAAATCGATTAAACCAAGATAAGAGCGTGAATATCGACAATCATGCAAGGAAATATCATAAACTGTAGCGTAGGCCAGGCAAAAAAAACGTCATTTTGCAGCCCACCAAAGGAGTTTGATAATTTACCTTCGCAAAGCCTCTCTCATATTCCTAAAGCGGCCTTCAGCAGAAACGATGCTTTGAAGTTTCTCCAGTAAGATTCGTGTCTGATGAAAAAATTATGTATATTATTGATTAATAACTGATGTCCATAAAACCTTTGCAGCTTTATCGTCACGTTTAGACAATTCTGGAGCAGAAATGTGAGCCTTGCTATCTACAGAACGCATCGTAGCACAAGATACAGGCATTTCACTTCAAAAATCAAATGGCGGCAAATTCTTTCTTTATCAAACTCAAAAAATGAACAATGAAGTTGCTTTTTAATTCAGATAACAACAAACCTGTTTAGAAACTTTTTCCCAAGTTTTCTTCAGCCGGTAGACCGCTGAACTTGTAAACGAGGTTATCACAGCCAAGAGGCCATTGAAATTATGCATGCATCTGCATACATCGGCAACAACAGCCCATTTCTCAATGGCACCTGCCCGAAGAGAGGCTGATTGTTTTGAAAGTATATCCGAAGCTATCAACCGACTCGTCTGCGAAATAAAAAAGGTAATATTAGCTAGGCGATAACTTTACGGAACTGAAAGCTAGAAAATATGATACAGTTCAACTGAGTTCAGTTTCGTTAAGTCATACCGTAGATACACTGGACTTTCACTAAGTCGTACTGATTTTCCATTCTCGCTCTTACTGATTTTCCAGTCGTACTGAACTTCCTTATTCAAGTTAAAGAACTTATCCTGGATAAGTGGGACAATCACTAAGTCGGATCATTTCCTTACACACCTTGGGATCCGACCAAAGGGGAATCAACTGTAAATCTAATCTCAATGTCGTTGTCATGTCTTGTTACATAAAAAATCGGTTGCGACCAGAGTCAGAAAAACATTACGGTCACACGGCCACTGACCAGAGGAAGGTCTACGAAAAACAATAGAAGCTCCTATGACACACTCAAGACACGCCCGCTTTCTATTGTTTGTGAGAAAGGTTTGCCTTCTGGGATGTTTTTGTCTAGAGGAAGGTTAATAACTTTTCTGGACTCTGGTTGCGACGTAAGTGGAGATTTGTTAAGGCCTTAGCTATGCAGCTACTATTTTATTCTGGACCTACTACTCGGTAAACTACTGTTGATAACTTATTTACCAAAAAATAGCCGGGGGCTGCTGGTGAGATTCATGATTAATTCACAGAACAATTGATTTTATTCATTATCGAAGGGGATAAGGATGACGTAGCTATTGACACAACCAGTTTAAAAGAGGAAATAAAATGCTGGTTAAATATAAGCGTAATAAGTCTGTAAAACAAGCTGTCTTAACAGTAATATTCATTAACGTCGATTGAATGAACATATCATTTAATTATACTTATATAAAATATACAGTGATTTTTATCAATGTCGATTAGATGAACATATCATTCATATAGTATACTAATGTTTAGATTGCTGATGCAATGTTTGAATTCTATAAAATTCGAATTTAAACATTTAATTACCGTTTATACATTATTTAAAGCTCATAATTGTAATTCATTACCAGGTAATTTGTGAATCAATTTCGTTTTGCGTTGCAGATTAACAGGAACAATCAAAATATATTTACGTATCGAGATTCGTATTTCAATGGGTTGGTTTGTGGGTTTCTTGATAAATCTTGTAAGCAAATTTAGTTGGTTCAAGACTGCAAAAAGTGTTTAATCGAGGCATTTTAGTTTACTGACAGCTTTCAATGTGTTTTATTAAACTAACAATATCAACAAAAAACTTGTTTTTCGTGTTCTATAAGTAGCGAATATTATGCTTTTAAGGAAACTTTCTTCTAGGTTTTTATAGTTTATTAAATTCATATTTTTAATTTTACCATGTTGAAATTGTTGATAACTCGCAGAATATTAGGAGCCGCAACATCTTTGTCGTCTTTCATCCACGCGGTATCAAGAAATTCCCTAAAAACGAAGTCTTCGATTACATGCAATGAAACATAGGCCCTGATGCGGAAACTACTGCCGAAACTACTGATTACATGCAATGAAACATAGGCCCTGATGCGGAAACTACTGCCGAAACTACTGATTACATGCAATGAAACATAGGCCCTGATGCGGAAACTACTGCCGAAACTACTGATTACATGCAATGAAACATAGGCCCTGATGCGGAAACTACTGGTCCGTGTTGGGAATAAACATTTCTTTTTTTGAAACAGCTGCTATGCTATTTCTAAAACTGCTGCAACTCGTTTACCCGGTTGACAGTTTCAATAAATCCTAGAAAACGATGAATAATGGAACAGCTTTTAAGCTTTTAAAAGGTCTTAATGAACAATTACTCTACTTATTGAAAAATTTAGTAACTTTATCTTATGAGGAACACAATTACTTTGCTGATGTCAACTTTTAAGGGGACTGAGTGTAAATATATGTTTACAATGTGTTATTGTTGGTCTTTTCTTTATAAAATTAACTTTCTGGGATTTTTATGTGTGAAATTATTTGAATTCACAATCCACAATCTCGGACAGAGTTGTTGTCACAAGCCCCTAAAAACCTGACCGGTAGCATGCATGTATTGTCCAACATATACCCCCCTCTTTCGATGAAAAGTTGGAGTATTGTAGTAGCTGAGATCAACATTGTATCAACATTGAATCAGGGGGGGTGCGATTTTTTAAGATTGTCTGTCCGGAATTGTAGGTACCTATTTGAGCAAATACTTGAGAAAACGTTACAGGTGATATATGAAGATCAACACAATATTCAATCAAATACAGCGATATATATTGAAATATCTAAAGTTGAAAAAAAGTTGTCAACAGATTTAACCACATACAGCAAATCAATACAAAAATTAAAGCCATGCTTGACATCAAAACCCTTGTTGCTTCTTCTACATCTATTCTGTCCTCTTGCATTCAAAACCATCAAATAAAAAAAATTCTTACTATCTTATCAAAGTAAGCACTTATAAATACCTCGCTGGAATGATGGACAATAGAGTGTGGTGGATATAGGTTAATTGTTCTGCGAGTTGAAGAGTTGAGAACTTTTCAGCAATCGGAGACCCGGATTTTGTCCTTTCAGAAACCTAAAAGAGAATAAAATCATAACTGATGAAGAAAAATATAATATTGCATTACCATTACATGTATTTAATAGTATAATATCTTACTACCATTCTCCAAAGTTTTGATTTTTGCTTGACTAACCAAGCTTATATACATCATGACCTTAAAGGGGCCTAAAATAAAGCAATACACTACCGACTTAGAACCTCAAAAGATATTTCACATTTCAAATAAAACAGGTTTGATTCGAGTCAACTTATGAAACGCATTCATCTGAAAGATCATTAATTTTAGAAATATCAAGCCTAGAAATTTTGCTTATTTTTCAAGCTAATTTTTTCAACATTTCCTTTTAAGATTTCTTGAATGCACAGTCTAAATATTTTTCTTCAAAAGGATTGCATTTAACGGAAATGCTTTTACAGTGATAATTTAGATAGTACCTTCTCAAAATAAAAACAGCTATATTTTTCATGAACAAGTGAATAACGATTTCTGAAAGCAAACTACAACCATTCTCATGATAGGAATGGCTCTCCAAACAAAATACGATATTTATACATAACAAAAAGAAATTAATCCTATGCATCTTCAGTTAGCTCAATCTAGCTGGAAAAACTGATAAAAATGAATTTAATGTTGGTAATAAAACTGGTTTTGACAATTAAGCCCTGGCCAAACGAATCAAACACCGATTTATGACAACATTCTTCGATAAAACATGTTTACGTTTAAGCCACAATGTTTTGTGGATCTTTGATGATTTTACAAAATGTGGTCTCAATCAAAATTCATAAAACATCTCTTGTGTTCTCATGATTAATCAGCAATACTGCGTACGATACCAAGGTAATAAAGTGCTAATTGATACAGTCAAAAGTCAATCCAAACCAATTATTGGTCGATTGGCTAATTGAGAAGGTCTACTATGTGTACAAAAATGGTAGGTGCAGACAAAGCGGATTTATGGAAGGACTTATGGATAGATCATAGGATCTTAACAGCATCACTTGGCCTTCATGAATCCATTTCAATTTAGTCGAAAAAAATAAGTAGAATCCTTTTTGAAGTAAATTCTATAGACTCACTGTTGGAAGCAATATAAGCATCTGAGCTGTTTTCCTTTCTTCACTTTCATCTGATTGCAGAGTTCTATAGATGAAAAGCAAAACATTCTCATTGTGAGAAGAAGGAAGGTGCCTTTGATTCTTTGCTTGTATTTCTATCAATAAGTGAATGCAAAATCCTTGCGTGGTTGTAGGGTGCAAAAGAAAGTTATCGATTTCTTGAATCATAAGTACGTATTATCATAGATCAAGACCAATGTGTTACTTCATTTACGGTTTATATCAAAGTTTTCAGGAAGGAAGAGAAAGCAGGACAAAAATAACTGCTGTTTTACATGCTAGATCTTTGGGGAGTATAAGACGGTGGTAGATGACATTAGTAAGATTTTGAACTAACTTGAGCAAAGCCTTGGCAGCCTTGCATTCAGCTTGACTGGAGTCATCACTATCAAGGACTTCTTTTAGAAAGTCATTTGCTTTCTTCCGCAGCTCGTCATTGGTCTTGAAGTCCTGTTAGAGACGCGACGAAATTAAGTGAATTTAAGAATTTAAGGGCAGTGGTTTTTAAGTGAATAACAAAATGCTCAACAGAGACACGTCATGACGGTAAATTTTAATCAATTATCATGTATTTTTATGAACTACTATGAATTGTAAAAAGATTATGTGAAAACCAATAACTTATCTGGAGTTGTCAAGAAACTAAGCGTTCTTTCGACTCACCTCAATCTGCTTTGAAATCCAGTGCTTCAAGATCTTTAGGACTCTCATCGTAACGATATGTCCATCCATGTTTTCAGAAAATTGAAAATTGAATCCAAACCTAAATCGACTGGCCGAAGTAGGCGAAGCTGCGGGTGAGACAGATGCGCCTGCAGTTGCCGCTGCGAAGGCTACAGCAGCTGACGAAATGCTTGACCGTCGCCTTGACGACCTATGTGACGTTACAACGACTCCGGGCGCGGGAGACGGCGGAGAAGAGTTTGGGCTTCGATTGAACGTTGGTGATCGTAGAGCTTCGAAGGGGCTTGTCCTTCCGAATTCACTACTCCTGAGTTCGGGGAACTTGTCTTTACCAGTCTTGAATCTCATGATAGGACTTCTTGGAGTTTGGGGGGATCTTCTCCCAGGTGAACGTGGAGGTGTCAGGGGAGACGTTCTTGGTGAGTTTCTTGGCGATGGGGATGGAGGACTTGGCGAAAGAACGGCATCAAATACCGTCTCATATCGACCACCGGGTTTCTTTTTAATGGTGATGCTTTGTTCAAACGGGTGCTGACTTCTCGAGTGACTTCCCCCAATTTCTTGTTTGAAATTGCTTGAGCTGGAGTCTCGCGAACTTGCACTTTCGCAAGAAAACTCTCTCCAAAACCCCTTGAAACCTTCAGGTGGCGAATTAGAGATCGGACTGGTTGCTGGCGTGACAGTCACCCCTACAGTACTTATTATGGTATCAGAGTCTCTGTACTGCCTATCAATCGAAGGGCTTTCAGACACTGTCAGTGCCGACGAATCCGTTCTTTCGCCTGTTGTGCAAGTGTTAGTGTAGATTTCACAAGAAGAGCCTCGTCTTTTAGAATCACGTTTTTTCATTTTGGGGGGAGAGTCCAGCTTTAGCACCGGCACCCTCTCCGAATCAGCTTCCTGTATTCTTGTGAAAGCTGATGTTGGACATCCTGGCTCATTTATTGGCTCGAGGTCGGCATTTTTCAAATCACCTCCCGACCCTTTGTTTGCAAGAGAAACCGAGTCTTTACTGCCTTTATCGTTACCGGACACTTCAATACTTTCGTTATAAGTCTCTTGACAACTATCCGACTCCGACAATGACGGACCAGACGTACTTCTAATTCGATGCTTCTCACCCGGCGAACCTGATAAGTCGTATCGGTAGGTCTGTGGCGAAGTCCGAACAGGGAATGTAAAGGCTGCTTCTTCGTACAGCGCGGATGGGGAGGAATGCCGTCTGTTTGACAAGACCGTAGGGGGGTAAAGAGTCGTAGGCGATTTCAGATCACGAGTGAAAGGAATGGCACTATGTCGGTGGGTACGGAGGCGACGGCTTCTCATGTCGTAATGGAAGGAGCTACTTACCGCACTGGGGCAACTGTTTCTATGAGATGCAACTGAAACAAGGTATATTGAATATAAGTCATCAGCAAGATCACTTCCACTAGCTGATAGTTAAACAAACTCTTTACTCAGGTAAAAGCAAAATAAAATGATAGAACCAATAAATGGACTCTAAAACAACTTGCAATTATACGAGGAAAATAAGCGAATTTAAGATAACGAAGTTTCAAGCGTAGCTTGTTATCAAGCCATTCGTTGTTCATAGAAATAGCAAAATGGTCCAAAATTTTAACACCAGCTGCCTGGTCATGCTCTTAAGAATTCTGCACAACAAAATTCAAAGATGGATATGAAATTCTGTGAAAAGATAGAAGGTTTTAACCAAAGTAAAATTTAAGCAAAGCCAACCAGAATGAGCTTCACTATAGTGGGCTTTACTAAGAGCCCAAGACACAGTGCTGAGTTGATAGAATCGTGTTCAAATCTTAACAAACCCCATATATATATATAATGACACTGTACTTGACGCTGTACCATTGAGTCGTGTTAAATGCTGAATATGATATCTGAATTGAATTTTAAAAAGCCTACCTTTAGGTGAAAACTCAGTGGGCTTCGTGGGTAGCTCCTGCTGCAGATCAGCCTTTGGATACTCAAACTGGGCTTTGGTGTAATACCATTGGAGAAGCGTATCAAATAGAACGATGGCGTCGGAGAAGACGCGGTACGTCGTAAGATATGTATTGAGGAACTCCACACTGAGGAATCTGACATCTATCAGCCGTTCTAACAGTCGTTCGACACTACCGTACTGGATCTACAGATGTCAAGAATAAGGAAATTTCTTACACACATATTTTCTTACAAGGTACAGAAACAACATAGGCACGTGCAGTTATTGCAGCAACCTTATGTCGTTCAGATAAAGCAATGACAGGGGATTATTTTGCCTCCTTCTAAAGTACACTCCCAAACTTTTTGAAAAATTCTTAAGAAAAATTTGGTCATTTTGGCGGTTGCTTTATTTTAATATCTCAAAAGATGTTTTGTTAAGCTATTATCAAACAATTCCTTGTAACACGTCCTTAAAAACTGTCAAGGTTGCACGCCTTTTTTCCGCCCAACTCTTCGGTTCCCTGGCCCCACCTCTGAATCTCAACCTTTGCCCTTAACCCTGGCCCCTAACCCTGGCCACTAGCCCGGCCCCTACCTCTCGGCAACTTATTATAAAGAACTACCTGTGTGCTTAATCAATTCAAATAGAAGGTTACTTACACGAGGCAGCCTGGATGAGTCGAGAGCCTTGCTGTATTTAATGTCTTGATCATTTGTAAAAAGCCTTGCATCAGATCTGCAAAAGGAATGGGTAAGATTTGCGATAATGTTGACAACGCTCAAGATCAAAGAGGAAAATTGGGGTCAAACAGAAAAATTTATTTATAATTCAGGAAAACTTTCCGTATTTTCCCTTCGTGACTAGCAAGAAACTTAAGGATAACTGAGGCAAATTCTCAGCTTGCAAGGGACAAGGAAAGTCCCCGAGGAAATCGCTTTTTAGGGCTCTTTTATAAGGAATTATTTTATCACTGGAGATGTGCCCCTCCAACATTCCCCTCTCAGTTCATTATATCAGCACATTTTTGCAATTTTTAGGATCAAAGTTTGTGATGTAGAAGAGCATGTAGCCATATGTGAAAGCGAGTTATAAACGTCTTGAAAGAACGAGCGCTCACGTGAATTACAGACTTCAACTATAAAAAGAACTGGTTAATTGTGCACGAATACTCTTCGAAGAAAACTCTAAAAAACCGGGGATTGTGAATTTAAGAGAAAATGTACCTGATACTCAGAAGACTTTGTCTCGATGTAATGGAAACTGCATGCTCGGTTTCAGGAGACTTTAAATTTTCAATACACTGTAAAAAAATAGCCAGATAACGTTATTAAGATCAGCTGCAGTAAGGAACTTATTTACAATTAGTTTACGAATAACGGAATGAAGAAATATAAAAAGGTGCTGTCGAGCCTTTTCTGTAACAAGGAAATGTACCTGGCTGATATCACTTGCCCACGACGCTTTGTCTTCAGAAGAAGCAGCCAAGAACATAAGTTTTAAAGACTGACTATCGTCTGGGTGATTGACAACGAGTTTAAAGACCAGATTTCCACCTTCGGATGCACTAGGCAGGCTGACAAAGTCGATGTCTGCAACAATGTCAAATAAAAAATATTGAATAAAATGCATTTCTTGTTTATCAGGCAATAAACATTATTGAATCGATCAATTATGTGTAGCCTAAGAAAATAATTATTGTGGTTGGGCCCCGAAAAAACAAGGGTTTGGAAAAAGCGGGGGAGAGGAGGGTTTAGAAACTTAAGATTTTCTAAACTTAAGAGTATAGGGAGCGGTACCACGGAACATACATTCACGGATTCATAGTAGACATCTTATACAATTTTTTACTTTAATAATAAACAAAACAATTAAATGCAATGAAAACAGCCAAGTGTCAGTAGAGAAAGCTGCACGATGAGTTACGCGTGCCTGAGGAATCTCACCTTCATCGACAACATCCTCTACTAGAGTTGTGTTCTGTAGGTCAGTTTTGCCGTTCTGGAAAGAAATGAAATCATTCAAATCCTGTTCTGACTTAATAAAAAAGAATTGAGGCATTGTAACTTGTTGGAAAATTCATAGTAGCATATTTTAGCAAGTGAAGCTGCATTTCCAGACAGCGCCATTTCTCATAAAAGTGCAATGTGGAGCTTTTCACGGTTCTATTTCTTTGTACTGTACCCAATGCGCGTTTTCTTCGGTAGGTTTCCAAAAAAGACACCTTTGTAATAAAATTTGAAAAGTTGGTCCAACGAAGGACCTGCGTCAAAAAGACTTGCTAAATATGAAAAATTTTCATTGGCTCCAATTCGCAGAGCTTCAGCAGTAAATGCAAATTTCTCAGTCAAGGGAACCAAGAAATGGAATAGATACCGTTCAATCTGAGCCTTAATTATGCCTACTGTTTAACCATTTTCAAAAGAGATCCACTTTTGCACAAACGTTCTATAAAGAAAAAAAACAAATGGAAATCTCAACTCACTGGCACAATTTGTAACTTGCCATTTGAGGCCCTGCTTGTAACCAGAAGGCATTTCGAGAACAGAAAGCACTGCCTGATGCTGTCTTTGCGATCATGCGATTTAAGCGACAGCGTAGAAAAAGATTTACGCCTGTTGGCTTGAAACTCGTTGCCTCCAACTTGCAGGAGTGGGCCTAAAACACAAACTCACCTTATTAATTAACGACAAAGAAGCATGATATACATATCTCTTCTTGTGTCAATCAAAATTAGCCAATCAATTGGCCTATGAGTGGTATCATGCTCACTGATTGGCTAATTGTGATTGCACATCTGTCATAGAGCAGAAACATTTTACAGGCTTTTGATTGGCTGATTATGCAAGCAAAATAAAAAAATAAAATGATAATAACTTGCTTACAGTTGGCAAGAAGGTCTAGCTACGTATTGAGCTAATTGAAGCAAAAAAAATCAATATATATAAAAAGTAATTATTTTAAAAGCCCTGTAAATATTAAACAAAACTTTTGAATAATCTACTGCTGCACTCAAAGTTATCTACATAAGTTAAACATCTTCTGATTGGGACTCTTCAATTTCTATAAGTAGCCTTTGACATAATTTCAAGCCAGTGAAACTAATAACCTTTGTGGTATATATTCGATACATATGTTTGTTCTTGCACGAAATATAACAATTTAGTTTACTTGGAGCTCATTCTGGACGTTTCATTAAAGTTTGATTCTAGTTATTGACAGCGGTTGAATTCGACAATATAATTTGGCATTTACTCGCAGTGGTGGCTCACAGGCTAGATATATTAGCTGCAGTGCAATCTGATTATGATTTATTTTTTCTCTCGAACAAGCAAAGCAAAAGCCCGGAAATTATACCTTGACGAATAAAAATCTGGTCAACATCCAGAAGCTCCTCGCAGCCTTCAGCGAATTGCCTTTCAATTGACAGGTTGCGCCTGATGTTTTCCGTTTCACTGACTTCATCTTGCATAACCTATGAGCGAAGGACGAAGATAGATGTGCAATCAATGTCATAAATGAATCGATATTGTCACTTGTAGTTCTTGGATCGAAATTATATAAGATGTACTTCTTCGCTATTATGACACAAAGACGCTGAAAATAAAGCTATTCCTCTTCACGTTTTCTTTTTCGCTTGTAAATAGCTTCCATTTTACAACAAAATAAATTAAGTAAAGATATCCTGAAATGTTCCCTCTGTAACTCATAATGACCGGTGTATTTCAATGTACTTTTCAATGCCTACAGTTAAGAAATCACAAGTCAATACAACATTTTCTTACGAAGATAATCTTAACGAAAATTCATGGTCAAATACCGTTGAAAGTTCTTCAAGAACACTCTGAGCATGCTCCAAAGATTTTCTTTCGACATGATCTGGTGGTGTCAGTGAAACTAATTGATGAAGGGTTATGATATAGTTTGGGATCTGCAATGAGAAAAGAGTTCATTCAAACCAACATACCCGCTAGTAAATGTTGCAAAACTGCCCTTGAATAGCATAACAGCTGAAGACTCATAAAAGGGCTTCAATATAAGAATCCGACACCATGATCAAATCAATGGAAAAATGGTGTGGAGCTGTTTATAGTTTTTTGTGCATGTCAATTAAGCGGGAAATGAATCAAGATAAGTGGCCTCTTCTTCTATGAAAGCGAGGGCTGGTTGACTGTCTACAGTATAATCCAATGAATTATTTTATATTGAATGGAATATAACTAACAAAACTATAAATAAACATTTATGAGCAGATCTATGTATATCGTGAGATTCTGGTGTTTTTGAAGTTGCTAAAAGGGGCATTGTCCCCAAAAGTTCAAATGCCCGTATCTCTGAAATGGAATAAGACAATTCAATTAAAGTTTCAGGATTTTCTATTGGCGTGGATCTGAATTGGTCCACCTAGCTTCGTTGATATCTGAGAACATGAGGTCAAAAGACGTGGAATGACCCTAATGTGACATTTGATTACTTCAATAATGCCATGTATTTGTGGGAATGAACAGTGAAGGAAACATCACAACACGATAATATTGTTACTTACTCTGTACATTGGAATGGTGAGGAAATTTTCCAATGTTCGGCCTACGCATGGGGGTCTCTCCTCGTGAACTTTCAGCACCCTCCTAAATGCATCTCTTTGCTTGCAGTCAGCCAAGGTCTGAAAGAAGAGAACCATTCAAGGGTATCCTTCAAGAAAACTAACAAACCTCCTTCTTATTACATCCGACAAGTATTTCATTGTTTTACCCATAAATTATTTTGTAGAAGTGCTCAGGAAAGTCTAAAATGCAAATTCACCAAAGTCTAAAAAATGCTTTCAAATGCTTTAATTGCTTCACGAGATTTCTAATTGCTGGAAACCATTAGTTGAAAGCCTTCACAGGATGTCACTTTGAAGGCGTAGTGTAGAGGAAAGAACAAAGAAGGCTCTTTCCCAGATATTCCAAACACAATAGAAAAGTCGAGCCACTTTTTAAGATTTATATATGGGGCTGTGACATCATGCTCTGTTTATAAGAGAAGCCGAGACCCCAGGCTCTTTCGAAATAAAGAGCAGTAGCATAGCATACAGACCTGCAAACTGTAGTGGTGATTCCTGACATATTCCTGGTAAATACTCAGCATTGGCAATAGCATGTCAAATAAATCACCTGAAACGAAACGTAATCAGCCGAATGAACCTATGCATGCCACAACAAATATATATCAGTCGATGTCCATACATTTGAATTGAGAACTGGACTGTTCTAAGTTTGGAGTGATGAATGAACAGCCCAAATAGCATTGCTTCTAACGAGGCCTTCAAAACAGATCACATTTGTAGATGTTTTTGATGAAAAATATGTGCTCTTTTGGAAATTACTTTGACCCAGAAAATGTTAAAAATATATCTTAATCAATATTTCTTTTTTGGCAAGGATGTCTTTTTTTTATGAATGGAATTTCATTCAGAGAATCTTTTTTTGGCAGTGGATTCAGAGACATCTGTTGCTTTTTCCTTAGCAAAACAACTTACATCTGTCGAAAATATAATTTAACTACGATGTGATACAGATACTATCTCTTATCAAAAATTAATCTTTTCCAGGAATCATCCATTCCACATTTTTTTCTTCAATAGTTGCGATATGATGCGAGTAAGGCATTGATAAACAAAGTAGTAGGTGTATTTCGATAAGTATGTATAACGACTTAAAAATATGATCGGTCCTAAAATGCGTTGTATGTATTTTAGAGGTTGTGTTTCTTGAAGCGTCGGTAGAAAGTTGACTTTCAGAAGATGGCTTGCATGTTTCAAATACTGATGCTTGCATTGAAAATCATTGATGAACAAAAGTTACATAAAACGTACCTAAAACCAATGTTGGCCAGCTCTCCATTCGAGTTTGAAGTCCGTTAAAGAAGATTTGATGTAAAAACATCAATGTTTCACTAGGAAATAATGAAAAAAACAATATGTAATTTGAAGTATTTGAAGAATGATTGATTGAGAGTATAATGTAAAACAACAAATACAATCCAGAATAGAAAACCTATGGAATTCACAGTGCAGCGCATAAATCCCCGCATAATTACAATGAAATTTCTTGCGATCTAAAACCATTTCAAACAGAAATTTACATGCAGAAAACCAATCAGTCAAAGTTTCGTTAAGATATGTTTACAAAACTCCAGTTCTTTCACTTATTTACAATTCACATTAAATAACAATTTTAGTTTATCTGACATGCAATTAAAAAAATAATAGAAGGGGACTTGAGTTTCAATTGTCAATTTTTTTTACCGAAAGTAAATTCAGCGTTCAAATTATTTGGAAAAGCAAAAGTGTTTAATTTTCGAAATTAAATATAAGCAAAATTCGGTCTAGGCCAAAAAGATCATGCCACGAAGGGAAAGAGCTTTGTTTGAAATATCCTCTATAGCTCATTTTAACAACACATTTCATAGTATTTAATCCTCCTAAATTGCCGAAAAAGGTATATTTTGTTAAACAAACTTATGACTGATAACTGAATGATGAAAAGCATGCAGATGGTTGACGAGCTTGGTCAACAAATTGTGAAGGACACTGTTCATTCTTTTCATATCTGGCAACATATTCTCTTAGCAAAAAGCATGATATCATTTGGATATTTATTCAAAGTTTCTGAACAATTATACAGATTGCACAAATATAGAATATTGCTTTTTCAAGCAAAATGATTTTCAGGAGTTACTTTCACATCATCGTTTACCTGTTTAGAAATATCGAATTGACTTCTTCGTGCGATAACGGTGGCTTTTTCGAACTGGCAGCCATCTTTAGTGGTCGAAAAAATGACGTCACGAGAGTTGAAAGAGTTTGCAGGTATTCCTCCTCTGATCGCACGAGCTCAAAGACTATCTGGTTGCGCTTGCGCATGCTCTGTGCATGGGGAGATCGTATGTAGTCTTGAACAATGTTGTGCCACCGTCGCCTACATAGGAGGCCACGGAAAATGCTTTGAACCTGGAGTTAGAACGAAAATATAGTAATTAAAATCTGACAGAAGGCTTTCAATTCAAAATTTATAAACAGGAGTAAAAATAATTCTGTACAGCAATCAGTTTTAAGGCAAATTATACTACAGGACACAATACGATTTTATTTTCAATTTGGTTAAAGCACCATGCATCTATAGCCACAAAGGATTTGGTATGGGTTTCCTTGCTATTTTGAATAGCCCCAACAACAATATATGATAAACAAATAACACATTCTAATCAACGCCAATGTAACAATGTTTGTGAAGTCAAAGTTTGCACTTGGTATTCCTACTGCACATGCGCAGGGAATGGACCTTCTTATCAATCCCTGATAAAATTGCAAATGCACTTTTCAAAAAAGAGCAATGCAAAATCAGATAACATATTAATAATTGAAAAGAAATCATGGCAACAGAAGATGAAATCAAGATGCTTTTGTAGGAGTGGCACAAAACAGATAATCAAGACGGTAATCAGAGCATTCCCAGACTTGTATATTACAGCTGTTAGTGTTACCTTGACAACAACATTAAGCAAGGCTTCTAAAGAAGCGTTATTCTAAACTATTGTAAAAGGTAGAACCAAATCCTTTGCTGGACCACAAGCTTTCCCTTGGAACATTTCATTCTTTCAAAAATAATATTTTCTTTACTCATTATCAATTTGTTTGATTATCACTTACAAACTTTGTCAATAATATTTCACTTTTATATACACGTGTAAATCATCATACTTCGTTATCTTTCCTGTTTTGTTATGATAAGGTTAGTATCGCCTACGTTTTTGTTAGTCCTATAATATGTTACCTTTTTTACTTTTTTAATTTCTTCAGTTTCATTGTCATCTGTTTCTTTAACTGCCACGTTTACTTGAATCTCTCGTTTTCTGAACCCCGCGATCTGAAAAGAAACATCTGTGTAGTTTATTCAGAAAGCAAGAAAAACAAAACGTGTAACACATTGCCACGAGCATGAACCCACCAGAGTTGCTTGAGATAACCTTACCTTGACTAATTCATTCATAGAGACTTAAACCTCTTGAAGATCACATTAGCGATCATGTATAAAACATGTTAGGTTTGCAAAAGATACCCGAAATTTGTAATTCTTGCCAGAGTTCTATATTCACAACAGGGACCATAATTCTGTAAAATTATGGAATAGCATTATTCTGATGTAAAAAGTGAGAATGATAGTACTGTAAATTTTCACAAAGAAAAACCCTTTCCCAAAATATCTCATGGAAAACTAGCCCCACTTTAGTTCATGAGTTTCATTGGCAGCAATACCATTTTGCCCTTTGTTTTTGTTTTTCTGTGGAGGGTGATCCATAAAATTGGGATCACTTCAAAGCTGGGTCAGCTCAAACAACGCTAGGTCGCATGGTTGTCAAAGACATACCTTGGCAAAATTTAATTTCGTTTAGTGCAGCCAAAAGATAGGCAAATGACCAGAACGATAACAAGCTTAAAAAGGCGGCTGTATAATCCGAAATTGCAATAGTTAAACATTTCCTTGTTGCTATACTATTTTTTCCTTTCGATCGATTAAGAAGTGGTATTGTCAACAGAGTTTTCAGTATTTGTGTTTAGTTAATAAGGACAGCTGTACGTCTGTCATACATTGGAATAAACGGCAAGTAAAGCAAAGGATGCTGGAGAACAGAAAACACGGGAGATGGAGCAAAAGCCAGCAGTTACTGCAGCCACTGATCCCCCTCCAGAGTCCCCATTGCCCAGCAAACTGTACACACGCTATCAGGTTAAGGTTCAAGGTTCTACGATATCGATGGTCTGATATACTTCTGATTTGTTTTAAAACGAATTATGATCCATGTGCCTAACATCAGATGTGAAACAGATTTACAAAAGAAACGGGAAAAATTGTACATGGTTGCTGTGTAGCGTAAAAAAGTGAAGAAAATAAGATATTTGATGGCATCCAAACCGACTTTTTTTATGAATGAAAGTAGATTGACCAGGAACAATACAATATATCGAGAAATGATGTTTCGTTATTGATAAAACTAGGTTATGCAAAGTTGAGAAATAATGCGAGAGCCAAGTTGACTAATATTCCATCTCCGCGTATGGGACTCTTTCAGAGTTCAATATTGGTGATCTCTCCCTACTCATAAAATGAGAAACGAAAACGAAAATGCTAACTCGATTATTGTCAGGAACATGAACAATACGTCTCCCTAACAAACAAATTGCATGCATTTGCTTACCTCTTGCCTGAGGTCTTTCAGCTGGTGTGCCTGATCTTGGCATTGCTGAAGCAGTTGCCAGGCACCGGCTCTTTCACTTTCCAATATTTGAACCACATGCGAGTATTTGTGCTCAAAATCTTCTTTTTTCGTTTGCAGCAACGCATAGCTTATGATATAATAAGATCAACAATAATGTCATGATATCAAGAGTTTAAGAATCACAAGAAGCCAGTCAGTAAATATTTTTGGTCGCACAACTGGTTGAAGATGACAAGCTACCAGCGTTCACTTAATTTGCACGAACAGGATTATTTAAGTGGAAACCCACCTCTGTTCTGATGAATCTGGTTGTCAGCAGGTCCCTAGAATTACCGTCATTACCTCTGTACATTGCGGTATTGCAAGTAAAATTCAAATCTTTAAAACTAACTAGGCGAGAGCAAGATTGTCAAAAGGCCTTTCATGACTTTACAGGTCAACATGAACGTATTAAAAATTACACTTCCTCTCAATAATGAATAAATGTATTACAAAAAAATCAACATTCAAAGAAAAAGTTGCTGGAAAATCTTCATTATAAATGTTTGCCGAGGCTTCTTTTCATAAAATAGGCCTCAATGGGGCTAAGGGCTTATAAACAAATTCAACTTATAAACTAACTGTAGAGTTACCTGGACTGTGTAATTTTTTGGTACCACACGGTGCAGTCATTTTCGTTCTCTGCTCTAAGCGTTATTTTTTGACACGAGGTAACTCCAGGAACGAGGATACAGAAGCAAAACTAAAAGAAACAGTGCTTGTTAACAAGAAGTTATCTTTAAAACTAGAACAAGAAAACACCAACGATGATGAAAATCGACCTGTGGATAAAAAATTATGCAAGAAACCCAGGCAGGAATTTTAAGGGACCAAACATACTGGAGATCGACTGAATTGAGATGCAGAAATAAACAAAGAGTTGGAAAGTTAGGGCAAGCCATTTTGAAATAATTTCTGAATATCGTTGCTACCAACAAGAGCTGCGTTATTTTTCATTAGCTTTCGACATAAAAAACTAGGATTAGAAGAAAACATAACTTGAGAAAACATTTTTATGTTTATGGGTTTCATCGGCATTTTCAAGCAAAAACAATCTATCAGCATTTTCAAGCAAAGAGTTAGAGTGATACTGATAAAGCTAGTTAAATGTATATCAAAGTCTTTAGGCATGTGCTGCTTATAAGGTAATTGAAATTCACAACCAGGTACAGATCGAAGGAACAATGATATGTTGATTGGTTGCTGGTTTCAGCCAATGATCAACCGCTAACCTAGCCTCTTACATTGTATAAGATTTTAAGAAAGAATGAGTTATTTCTGTTAACTCACGTCCAGAGAAGCATTTTTATTCTATGTATACAGACTCAAAAATCCCTAAAACAACTTGGTCCGACACTTTTCAAAGCGATAATGATAAGTGCCGTCCGTTATAATAAGGCACGAATCAAAGTGATGTGAGAAGATCAATCAATGGCTGACTGGTTGCTTGCTATGACAAACCATCAACCACCAGCCCTTAACATTGTTACATACACCCCACTACCTACATACACCTTATATTTTGATTCCAGCTGTGACAATATTGGAAGTTCTCGATACTCACAGAATAAGCTACAGCAGCAGTGAATACATTTATTCTTAACATATCCATCGTCAGAAAACTGACAAATGGCGAACCTGATCTTTCGCTACCTACGCGGAAAACTAACAATGGACAAAAGGCTATATATTTCGTGGACCTAAGCTTTACAACCAACTTGAAGCTAACTTTAAACAGACCCTCCCCTTTGTAAGTTTCGAGACGAAATCTAAAAATATGCTATGATCTTAAACCTTTTTCCGTTAATTTGACAGAAAGTGTGTAAAATTTTGAATTGTAATTTTACAGAAGGTCGTGCTTTCCACGGCCCTCTGAAAATTCAGAAGATGGACATGGACTGACGGGCTTCCGTGCTTAAGTGATTAAATGTTAAAAAATGTAATAAAATTGGTAAGTCAGGCAGTTCCACATGACTTGTTTGAAACATTTGCTGACTTCACAGATGAAAATTTCTGCAATGAAATGAATTGAGAAAGAGGCAAAATGCATCTGAGAAATTAATACTCAAATTTTGATAGAAAAATAAGCAAATTTAGGAAAAGGGCTTTAAAACATTAGGCTGCATAAAAGTTGCCTAATGATCGCATTATTCATTAAACTCGGCGTTGCAACTATTGTTCTATTGAGAACCATTCTAATCAACACTCAAAAGCAGTTAAAGCTTCGTATATGTTTTGACTACAGCATCATTGCACATAGACGAGTTGTCGAACAGTTGCAATAAAACAAACTGAACGACAAGACAGCTGATTGGTGATGACCCGACCCATTGCAAGAAAACGTCTACTTTTACACGAAAGCCATTGTAAGAAAATATTCTACCGAATAATTGCATATTCTTTGTTAGCCACAGCTTAATCGTAGGTATTGATTAGCATTAAAAAGGCGTCAGCGTCTCAACGTTTAGCCTGCGTGTATACTCCAACCCCTACGAAGGAGAGTGTTAGAGTCTGCACGGAAGCTACTTAACGATGCGAAAGGCCTCAAAAAAGAAGCACGAAGTTTGAATATAGGCATTAAAAAAAAGTTGCAATGCCCAAGCTTGACATAGATCAACGAAACATGACAAAATCTTTGTCCAACAAAACCCTAGGTACTCAAAAAATGATATAAAAACTGTATCTAGGGATTTTTAATATAATATTGTAGGGAATTTGCTTTTCACTCACTTAAAAACCAATAACTAATACAAAATTAGTTTCTACATTCATCGAACAAAATTAAAGTTTGTATATCATAATGTTTGACTGCATCATTAAAACCACGATAAAATACACAATTTCAAGGTACCAGTCTACAAAATTCAATGCGTTAACTTCAAAATGTTTCAAGAGGTCTGCTCAATAAATCTTGCATCTTTTGGCTGCAATCTAGCAAATCATAAATAAAATGCTTTCCTAGGAAACTGCAATCTTTACATTGATTTATATATTGATTCATTTCAACAACAACAAAAATAATAAATTAATGACACTAAAAAATGATAGCATAATATTATAATGGTATAATGATAATAGAAATAAAACAATGATAATGATAATACAACATGAAATATATGATAAAACATGATATAATATAATATAATATAATATAATATAATATAATATAATATAAATTAAATAATATAATATATATAATATAATATAATATTAATATAAATATATAATAATTAATATAATATAATATAATATAATATAATAAAGTATAATATAACATAATATAATTTAACATTATATAACAATCAGAAGAGGGTAGGGTGGAAAGTAGAGAAAAGAAAGCGTAGTGCTTTTGCACAAACCACTTAGCAGCACTTTGCCAAAATGAATTTTCCTATTACAAAATTAAAATTTTCGAATCGACTTGAATAAAGAATAGATAATTGTTTAATTTGTCTGGGTATATTAATTGAGGAAAGGTCAGCATACCAGCTGCATTGCAAATACTAACAAATTTTAGTGAGTGGATCTTCGCATCTAACATTGTCTTTAAGAAATTTGTTTGAAAGAAAACCAGATCAGTATAACAACCTGCTTATTGTGTTCTGCTTTGCGATTTTCATTGTTACACCGCAAATTTTCACTCCTCGTGTCGCCCATTATCATCACACACGGGTGTCGGGTCAAGTGTAAATAAAAGGCCTAACTTTCCAACAGGATGTCTGCCTGGTCTTCTTCCCGTAGAATATGAAAATTTTCAACGGAAAAAGTTCTCGTTTTTCGTTTATCAAAAAAACACTATTAAATTGCAAATTTTTAGGACATTTCTTTAGGTGATCTGCTTTGGTCAATATATTGACTGAAAATCATTGAGTTTCAACAATGATCTGAACATTTAATCTTAATTTCGTTCTTATCGAAAAGCTTTCATTTGATATTTAACTATGCAATGATGCTTCGACTGCAAACAACTTAACGATTACACTTTTCAAGAAGATGGTATTTCAGTAAACTAGACCAAAATTTTATTCTAAAAGCAGATTTAATCCATATCCGTTTTTTATGGCAAAGATTATGGAAACAAAAAGAAGGTGGCCATGAATGAAGGATAACATAGGCCAAGTGAAGTTCTAGTGATACAATTCACCTTGTAAGCTCAAACTGTATCAATGGAGTCAAAGACCTGTTAGACAACCTCATTGTCACTTAACAATTCGTTGTTGATGAGATATCAGTTATGTTTTGTCTGACTAATCTGGGATTTCATTGTGATTGTTATCTGCGCTCAGGCAGGTCAAAATTTTGAATCCATGAAAACAATGTGAAAAATACAATTAAAAAATTGGAAACGAAACTGCAGTTAATTCAAAGATATAAAGTAAAATCAGATGTTTCTGACTAAATTATTCCTTTGAAAATCTTAGCTGTAGTATGATTCTGCCTTAGTTACCTTATCCTTGGAAATGTTGCCAGGAAATTTTACTAAAATAGTTCAAATGAAATTCTTTCAAAAATTTTGAGAGAAATCTCAAAAGTAAGTGGACAGTGCAAAACAAAAATGACGTCATGCGTGTCGTTGAAATTACAATCTAGTTTACTTAATGTAAATAGAACTCACTGGTTGTTACGACACCGCACTAGCAGTCACGAATGCACGCTCATATCAGTGTGTCAGCAACTTCTCATTACTCCGCTGCTATATAAAAAACTATGTCGATGATTATTTTCCACAGGATGAGACTCGAATCTCAGTCGTCTTGATCCGCATGATACTCATGCCAGCCTTGAACAACTTACCTTAACAAAGGGCCTATTCTAAAAACCAACATAAAACAGTTGGCATTGTCAAATACATAAATCACGTTTAAATGCGTTTCCAGGCCGACACCGTGGATCAGAAGCTTTGCCGCCTTCAGAAATGAAGACGTCAGAATCAGCGCATCAGCACCACGATCACCCGATCATTGTAACGATGTCAATGATTGTCATCAATATCATTATAATAATATACAACATGATCACTGTTATGATTTACTTAATCATCAGCAGCTTCACCATCACAAGCGATGTAAATCACAATTATCAACAAGCTATCATCTTTATCAGTACCTTTATCGCAATGCCTATTCCTAGGTATGATCGCTTCCCTTATCGTGATTGGATAGCGATTATTGTAAACTTTTACTTTTTGTGGTGAAACGATTATTTTCTTCACAAAAGGAAAGAAAAACGGTTTTTTTAATATCAACTAGCGGGTTATGTGCAATTTTTTCTAGAACAGGTTGCATCATGCGCTTCAATCAAAATGAATTTGCTTTTTCTTAAAATCCTTTTCAATCTAAATTGTAAAGAGCTGATTTCAGATTTGCAGGTCGTTCTCTTCCTCATAACAAGAATGGCTGCGACTCTAGATACAACATATAAACATAAAACGTTGTTTAGCCAATAATATTGCAAATATTTGAGGTAGCCATCAAGTTGCCGAGTCCCTCGCAAAATGAAAACAAACAGAAAAAAAGATTTTCTTGTACTGGATGCACCTCAAGTTTGAAGAACAGAAACTAGCACATGAAATCATGAAAAACTGTTTATACCTGATGCTCAACATCATGGATGTTCTTCATGCCCGTCCTCTCGAACTGGCATTGCTCCAACAAAAATGTGTTGCTTGGCTTGGGTGAATCCTGATTGTGGAATTCGAAAAGAAAGTTCATGTGCAAAACAAAATATCGGAGATTCCATTTCGTTGTGCTTGCATCGGCTAGTTTTACCCAGAGGTTTCCAGACTTTGCAGCGTTATTTTTTGCTTTTTCAGCCAAGTATATTAACTGCTGCTCGTTCAGTTTGACTTGACTTGAAGGCATTTCAAAATCTTTTCATCTAGGTCTTAATTTTATCATCAGCACTCACAAGCAAATTTAAAAATGCAATCGAATTGTTCTCATTTTCAAATCAGCTGCCCTCTCTGATTCCCAAAGTTCAGTAACATTGAGTTTCCAGAGAATCCATTTCTCGCCAAATGCAAAGCCTTTTTGCTGCTTCGGGCTAGCAACAAGATACCTTCATCGCTGAATTTTCCTTGCATTAAAGTTCAATTGCAACGTGAGTGAAGCTAAGAAAATCTGCCCTGGCCTATTGCCCGATGATCGAACATGCTCGAAAAGTTGTCAGTCTTTTGGCGTGATCAGCATTTAAGATCGATATCCGGGGGGTGCGCCTGGAACAGCAAGCAGGTGTACTAGCAACAATGGCAGGGCAATTGTTTGCTAATAATTTCATGTTTAAGCCCTTCTCTTCACGTCAAAAGACAAAGAAAGCAGGTAAAGCATACATAGACCTTGTTAGCGCAAACAAAATTTGTACATCACTTCTCGCATATTGCTTTAGGCGTTACAGAAGTATTTGCATGTGCGATTTCAGACGGCATAACGTTATTTATCCTGGTTAGCCACTAAATTCAGAAAATAGCTGTTTTAAAATCATAATTCAACTTCTGCTTATAATTTTTTCATTGCCGATAATCAAGGGTACAGTAAAAATGCCTTGTTCAGACCTTTCTCGATAGCTTTAGGCCATCTTCAGACAAAAATAAAACGCTTTGTCACATAAACAAAATAGACTTGAAGAAGCACCGAATAAAAGAAGGTTTCAATGCTTTCATTTCTGTGCGCAGCTACTTCTGAATCTCAATATTGCAACCGCATTTCAATCTTCAGCTTGTTTGTCTGCAAAACGTTTAGCAGTATCTACTTTCATCGATTAAGTCAATTAAACGTTTATCGAGTCTCATAATGTGGTAAGGATGCACCTTCTTTTTCATCTATCTGACCTTCTTTCAAATTTCGAAAAAGCTATCAAGAAAATGATCAACAAATATAGGGACCAGGATTTGCCCAATGGTTTTTGTAAACGTCTTTCATGACGAGAAAAAATGACGAGAAAAAAATTATACAACTGTCAAACACGAAAGTATACTACCATTTGCACCAACCATAAATTTCAAAAATATATCAAGAAGCAAGTAGACCTTGCTTTAAAAAGATCAAATTGCGATCCTTGGTAGAGAAAAGTAGAGAAAAGTAGAGAAAAGTAGAGAAAAGTACGGGGCTCTGGTTGTAGAACCGAACTTTCATCTACGAATATTCCAATTCCTTCACAAAAATGCAGAACGTTTGCGTGTAGAAACTAGGAATTGTGTCTTTTTTCCTTTCTGATTATCGTCTGTCCACAATATGATTCAAGGAGTTACCCATTAATTGCAGTTCAGTCGTGAAATTACAATTCTTTTTTGGCAATACTGGCAGCGTGGCTACATAGAAATAGCGTTAATGGGGTATTTTCTGAATACCTGAAAAAAAAATTTTGGACGAATTGAAACAAAACATTGCAATCGCTTTGCACCAACATACACTGTGCCTTTCAGCTAGAGAATGGTACGTTCTACTCGATTTTATTTGTTTCAATGTTGGAAAATTTCATATTTTTTCTGAAAAAGAGTTTCCTTTTCGTTTGAAATCTATGATTTTAACGAAAATAAGAAGAAAAAACACGGCTAGGTCTCAAAATTGCCAAATGTTTGTTCGATACAAAAAAATTGCCTAATTACTGGGCATCGAGGGGCTATACTAACCTCAGTTTTTGGCTAAGAGGCTATTCGCATGTTGAAAGTTTTTTTTACTTGGTAAGCTTAGTTGCAGCAAAGTAAAACAAGTTTAGCTGTTAAATCAGAAAACTCAAGGTAATTAATTGTCAGCACAGCCTGCCAGAGACCAATATGTCTCCAACAGAGTTGTTTTCCCGCATTTTAGCGTGTTGTCTCGCAAATTTTCCCACTGAAAAGCCTTCGAACTCCCATTTATCACTGGTAACTTGTGATTAAAATCAAATGATTCAGGCATTTAAACAGAACACTTGGCTACTGGAAAAATTACTAAAGAAAGAACTCGCTGCAAGAAATTTCGTTGAAATATACGTTAAGCGTTGTCGACGGAAATGGAAACAGAGGCCCCATTCAGCAGCTTCGTCCGGAAAAACTAGTACAGAGGTTACAGAAAATGGCTTAAAATTATTTCATACGACGAAATATGGAAGAAATATCGTCATATGTGGTTTATGCGAATGGAAATTTGAAAACCCGTTTTATTAATAGTTTTATTTTTTTTAAATAAAATGTTGAATCTATTATTCAGTTTTTTATAGTAATTTCACATGAAAACATTTTAACCGCGGATTGATGACGTAATAATCCACTGCTTTGTTGAGCTTAAGAACACTAAACTCAAACGGGGCAAATAGACTCTTAACTATACCAAAAAGTCTTTGATAACCCTTGACTCTATATCAAAAGACAGTTGCAAGCAAAATATATCTCATTTTATCAACAAGATCAGATGTAAAGAATATCAGAATGTTTCTCTCTCATTACACCGAGAATTTGACAACTTCGTCACAAAGAAACCTTGGGAAAAAACCTACTGCCTGAAATTGTCCGACATCAATTATTGGGTCATAAAAACGATGTATTCTTGGCCTAATACGGACTGATCACCACTTCTATTAAATGTTTTTGCGCGTTACTTCTACATTACTCTTCGGGATCGAATTTACAGATGTCAAGATCCACCTGCTTCATAAAAAACACTTAAAACAAGGACAAAAGACAGCTAAGTTTGCTTTTTTGTCTACTTTCAGTCTTAAACGTTAATATTGGATTTTCGCGAAAGCTCAAAATAGAGCCTCGTTGACGTCAGAAGCTAACTGGTCGTTGTGAAATAATTTAGGTGGGCAGTTAAAAGAGCGCTAGCATTTGCAGGGATACGTCACATCAGTGTGTCATAAATCCTGATCATACGCTCAGTTCTCATGAACAAGAAGTTTAAAAACCCAGATAGGGCATAAGCATCCATCGTGAACTTTTCTTCATAAAAGCATTACGATTTAGGACCGAGAGTAAAGTAACAAAAGTTTTAATAGCTGAAAATACATTACTCGCTTAATTTAGATAAATCTTGGTCTCGTTCCTAAAATGTAATGCCAAAAAACGATCCTAGAGGCGTTTGCAAAGATGTGAATTTTTAAGAGACATTTGATTTATTTGACAAAATTCATCGAGTAAAACTTGCCAAAACGTTAATCAAGAAGTTATAAAAAACGATTGCAAGTCATTTGCAGTCGGGTGCATAGCTTTCACCATAAAACATCACAGAAACGTTTCCATGGCTGTTAATTTCCTGTAAATTCACTATGGCTTCGAATAATTTCGATAGGATAGTCTTTTGCAAGGTAACAGCAAAAAGTTGCTCTAAAAGATTTTTTAAAGGTTTTGGTGATGGGACTATAGAATATTTTGATATCATGTATACAGTATCAGCCTTATTCAAGACCCTATGCAAAAGCAGCATCAAATTTTCATTTCCCACACCTTAAAGAATTCAAAACCCCCAGTGCCTAAGGCATACCATTAATTACGATCATAATGCAATTTTTACCGTTGCCCATCACAACAACACTAACATACATTTTTTAATTGAAAACTATGCGGAAGGCCAATGAACAAAATCTTAACCATGTCCAATCCAAACTTTAATCACTTTAAAAAGAGTTTCAAGAGGGTGTTTGACAGTGTCTAAGACAGGTCAATGCTTGATATCCTTAACACTGACCATCTTAAAACCTCATCATGACAATGTATCTGATTTCTATTCAAACTTTTCCATGGAGGTCCTAATCCTAAACTGCTATTCCTAAACACAAGGGTTGAGCTTAATCATATTATAGTAAAAAAATTCATATATGAAAAAGGGACCTTTGCTTTTAAGTATTGTTACCCCCATTCTACCTTGCCATAGATTAATTTCTTCTTCTGCCTAATATGTGATATGGAAAAGTGTGTCATGCAGGCTTTCTAAAAATTCCATCACTTATACTTATCCCAGCCCTCAATACTGGCCAGAAGAGGACAATACAGTAATTAGTCTGGTGCTGTCCCAGAACCAAGATTAATGCAAGAAAAAACCTAAATATTTAGCAATACGGGTTTAACAATTAGACAGAAATTCAATTTAGTCTATCATGTCCAGTTTCTGATATAAAGTGCTAAACAAGTCCTTGCGAATAAAAAAAGACAAACAACTCAATTCTCGTACAATGCAAATATATTGTACTATGTTTAGTGTCTTTTCTCAATAGTAACTGCAATTATAACAAAGTCGACCAATTTGCAAACATGCAATTTACTCCCAAAGAACTCCTTTGAAATGATATGAAAAACTAGTTGGGCTTTTCCCACAAAGAAATGATAACTCACATAAAGATTTACTTTGATGTTTTGATACAACTTTGAGAGAAATTTTCTCAAAATCAATTCCAAGAGTTCTTCACAAAAGCCATAAAGCAGGTATCAATAACATCCAATGCAATATATCTTATATCTAACAATTAGGCTATGAAAAAGTAATTTTGAAAATATCCTTAGTCAAATGTCACTGTAAACCCCTAGATACCTTTGTTTTCCCACTGCAAGATTAAAGAAGTTTTTTGTAGTCTGGCAACTCTCTAGCACTATTTTTCTACTCGTAAACTGAATAATTTCACTGTGCAAGCATCTTTATGTAATTTGGTTTTTGCATAAGCCGAAAGTGCAGCAGAATCTTGATCCACCCCTGGTACAATGTAAAATCTACCTATGATTTTATTGGCTTAGCTTCAAACAATTTGCATCAAGTAAGATAAAATTGGCAACCTTTGAAATCAAAACTCTTGGGCACAACTTTTTTTTGCAGGCAAATGTTTCATTTTCTGGCTTAGAGAGATATTTTTTATCAAAAAGGTTCATACCTCTGAACAGCTATAAAAGCCAAAACTATTAGCAAAGACATAAATGCTGACCTTTGGACCAACTGGACCAATTGTCTCATGATTTCTCTGATCAACTGACAAAAGACACCACACCCAAGTTAACCCTCACAGCTCACATTCTTTTAACAGTTTCAAATTTCAATATTTTGACAGGTAGCTGCAAACTTTTGAAACTTTTTTCAGCTTTTTGAGCTGGTTGCAAATATTTGAGCAATTTATTCTTGTGGAACTTCATATCAAACCTGAAGAGTTCTTTTAATTAATGATTCTTTTGTTCTTGGAGAACAATTTGGACCATGGTTTGTAATCATATTTATACAAAGCCAACAATTTTCAATGATGTGCAAATCTGGACTTGATGGAATAGATGCCATGGAAAAACTTGAATCCTACTTGTTTGGAAATAGTTTAGTGTTGCTAAGCACCAGGGTGCATTCCATGTACTTAGGCCTGAAGATCTTCTGTGTATACCCAGGTTTTTTTTGGCTTTCAGCGTGCAAACCAATAAAAAAACTTTTGGGCTTACCTAAAATTTTTTGTTTAGTTGGCATGCTAAACATGAAGCCATGTACATATTTAACCTAAAATAAAGACTCATAGTATCACAGTTTTCTTTAATAATCAGTTTTCTTTGTCTGGTTAAACAATGTTAATATTGTTTTAATAACTGCTTTTATAATCTCGGCGTACCTAGACGAAAGCCCCGGTGGACCTTTGGCGTACAGTTGACATGAAATGCACCTTAGGCTAAGCATAAAACTTTGTGACATGAAACAGAGAAATTCTTTCCCCTGTAGTAAACAATTTTTTTTAAACATCCACTGCTCTGTTTGTTTGCTAGCAGGGGCGGCTAACAGTGTTATTAGTGTTATAAGTCTAATAACAGCTTTTTCCCAAAGCTATAGGCTTGTAGTGGCCTTCATTGTTTGTTTTCATAGTCCCTGATTTGGATTGGTGCTTGAGGCTTCACATGTCAATAGTCTTTAACTGAAATTCTTTCGCCTTCAATCTTCCTTTGAAAATGTCAAAAAGCCCTTGCTAAAATATCTGCTATTAGGATTGCCATTTCCTTTGTTTTAACTAGGTGAATGTGACATGACAGAAAACAGGGATTAAAGCCATTGTCTTTTACTAGCACATTATTAGCCTCCGCGGTCTAATAACACTTTCTGAGGGCAATGGCTCGACTGACTATGGCTGCCTTTTATAGTCAGCATGTTTTATATTTCTACAAACAACAAAAGTTTGTCTACGCAATTTTAACATTAAAAATTATGTTTTCTATGGCGTCAGGAAGATTTTCAAGAATTTCCCGTCAAAATTTGCTAAAAAGTACGCCTTTTGTACCTAAATCGTGCATTCAAGTGTTTGGTAAATCTCGACAATAAATCTCAGTATAAATAATGAAAAACTTAAACAAGAAAATTATACAAAATATCTTGGAATTATAATAGATGACAAGTTAAATTGGAAAAAACATATAAAGCAAATAAACATTAAAATATCTAAAGGTATTGGGATTCTTTATAAACTAAGACATTATGTCCTCAAAAACACTTTAAAGAATGCTATATTATAACTCATTTATTCAATCTCATGCACTCTATGGTATACTGAATTGGGGATGTGCAAGCTCTATCTTGAGTTTTTTTCATGTGTCCAGTCAGCTGATTTAATTGTATATAGGGTGGATTTATTCTTTAATGTTCTTATTGTCATTTTGGATTTAACAATTGAATTTTGAACAACTTACTTAAATGACGTAACTTGTAATGAATTGATTTGGTGGAAAAAATTTTGAGTTTGAGTTTGGTATAGTTGAAAAGTTGACAAATGTGCCGCCATTTTTGAACAGTGTGGTGCAAATACTTCTGCGAGGACAGTGGGGGTATGCAAAGTATAATTACAACTTCAAGTATTTTAATTATACTATTTACTATCTCCGTCAAAAATTTGTAATTTTACTTACTTTTCCTTGTGAAAGCGAAAGATGATTTCACGATTTTCTTACAAAGAGTTGTGAAGTATCCAACGTGAGCTAGCGGCCATGTTTTTTCTGTTTATCAATCTCGGAATGGGAGTGAGGCTATTACGAGAAAATTTGGCGGGAATAAACAACAGAAATTTTGATTATGTGCGCATTTTTTGCGTTTGGCTGTTCATTTATTTTTCTTCTTTATTACTAAAGTTGGCTGCATATTCCTACGCAATTTAGAAATCAAAAATAAAAAGTCATCAAGAGGTTCTGTTCTTTAGAATAAAAACCATTCAATCACGTGTCTCATTCTCTCGTAATTAATTTGATTTCAAACAGATAAAGGAAATGTTACCCCTATAAATATGCATATGCCACACAGATTTCAACGTTGAAGGCAAGCATACCCGCAAAAGTATTTAAAGCAATTAAAGATAACACTTTGCACGCCATCATTTAGGGTTGGTGCATGACAGCATGACAACCTGTTACTTATGTGCATTTGCATCTGATGCGGTTTCATTCGGGTTTGAAAATAGTATTAAATTTGAGCATTCAAATTCTCTTCCCTTTTACCATGTATCAGCAGCATCTGAAAAATAATGTGCCTAGCATCTGGAAAATAATTTTCTACATTTTTTAACTTTTCCTTTTGTAAGTCACTGGTCAGAAATATAACTTTGTTAGTAAATTAATTAATTAGTTAGTTAATTAGTTAGTTAGTTAGTTAGTTAGTTGGTTAGTTAGTTGGTTAGTTAATTGGTTAGTTAGTTTGTTGGTTAGTTAGTTAGTATTTTAGTTAGTTAGTTAGTTAGTTAGTTAGTTATTTAGTTATTTAGTTAGTTAGTTAGTTAGTTAGTTAGTTAGTTAGTTAGTTAGTTAGTTAGTTAGTTAGTTAGTTAGTTAGTTAGTTAGTTAGTTAGTTAGTTAGTTAGTTAGTTAGTTAGCTAGTTAGTTAGCTAGTTAGTCAGCTAGCTTTGTTTCTGTTCTGAATTCTGTTTGAACCTTTAAACTGCTCTTTTTCCCAAAGAATTAGTTCCTTAGTTCCAGCATTCGTGAAACAAAGCTAATTTTAGAGCTGAATTGAAAAGACCTGATGTTTTAATTTGTTGTACCGAGAATTTTGCTGTATGTGTGTAAACGCTGCATGAAGGGAGCGAGGAAATCTAAAGGAGAATCAAGAGCTTACCTTGCTCTTTGAGCTCAAAATCCATGCGGGTTCCTCTTGGCATCCTAGGTAACTACATTCCCTTCCCTATACCAACTGGAAATTATTTTTATAATTACTTTATTGGTATAATTTTATAACTAAGTTGCTGAATATAAAATCAATTTGGATTCAGTTTTTTTTCAAATTGTTGTAGGATAAATCAGCCTGAAAGCTTGTATCAATCTTTAATAAATCTTTCATTAAATTTATATTGTAAAGTGGGTGCAAGTTTCTCAGATCCACTAAAAGAACTACGTTAATAGGGCTGTCATTTCGATAAAACAGTTGGTAAGACTGTTATTTGGGGTAGAAAGGTATATTGCCATACCTAAATCCAAAAATAGTAATCCTTGATTTGTCTCTTCAAAAACTATATTGCACCCTTTATTAGCTTCCTACCCTTCTGTTGAAAATATAGTATCCTAGTTGAGCGCCAGGATCTCATTGTTTTTTAGCAGAAAACAAAGGCACAAGAAAATATTTCAACTTTTCTGCATTCTGCGAAATTTGCCTTCAAAAATAGAAAATCTCTGTTTATGACCCTGATGACGAAAACATATCAGAAAAGTCTAGCATCATTTGAATGTCTTTGTTTATAGAAAAAAGTGTCTTGTAGTTACATGATTTTTGGTCTAGTAGTCACATTTAATATAATTATAGCCAGCTGCAAGCAAAAGCAGGCTATTTCTGAGCTGCATCTTCATTTAAATTTAGATGTTTCAGTTATGACCATCCCCTTTATTCTAGAAATCTATCTTCTAGTTCTGCTTTTCTGTAACAAAATTATCTGCATCTATCTTGACTTCTGGGAGCACAATTGCCCAAATTTTTTATCTGAACCTCCGCATTTCTTTCTCAAATGAGCCTTTAAATAGTTTTCCCGCAAAAATGCGCAAGAAAAGATGCCGTCCTTACCATTCCTGTGATTCCACATCAAGAGGATGGACCAGGAAACTGCTCGACAAGCATAGCTTTTATCTTAAGAAGCATAGGTTGTAACAAATAAAGACTACAAGAACAAGATTATTTCACAGCTTCTATATGAAATGTACATTATGTGCTGGCTGCGTACCATAATTCTTAATATGGGATGCGGCATGGAATATGGGATGATCCTTCAAGGAGCCATAAAATGTTAATCGCTTTACAACTAGTGAACTGGGAAGTAGTTAAAATTTTGGAAACGCTTTATATGAGGTTTTCAACTGCACGGCCTGTGTAGTGTCCTAAGTAATCTTAAAAAGCAAGAAAAAATTCAAAATTTTGGTTAACGATATAGTTACTAATAGAAACGTTTTAGATGCGGTTTCACTTTTTATTTCTTAAAATAAATGTGCAACATCATAAAACCACACTTCAAACATATGAAAACAATTGTTACGATGATATACTTATAACAACAGACAAAAAATAAGAACCAAGTTAGATGTTCCTTGCAAGGGAGTTTCTTTAAGAGGAGCTCTCTCAACAGATAAAATCAATCGAAAAGAGAGCCCCCCCCCCTTTCTAGGATTGTTTTCAATGTTAATAAATTATAAAGATGTGTAACAGAACAATACCTTTCGCTTAAGAGCCAACTTTGATGGTTTTTCATAGATATAGTGGTTTAAAGCTTTTCGCGAAGAAGGGCAACATATGATAAAATATTTTTATACCTACTGGAATGTCGTCCAAAGATTTTGCACCAAAAAATACACGGCACTGACACAATATTGCAAAGTATTTTTGTATTGAGAAAGCGTTACTTTAAGGGCTTGCTAAGTACCATACTCATAAACATTTGTCGCTGAAGCATAAACAAACAAAGCAATTTTAACTGGAAAAGTTCTGAAAATACAGAAGTAGAGGGTGCATTTGAATGTTAAAACGCAATAGCTTTTACTGCTCTGCTCAACAAAACACATTCAAGTGTCATGCAATGCTGGAGAAAGGGATGAATTAAGTAATTGTATAGTCATCATTTTGGATCTCTTTTGGCGCTTTCGAGGGACTGAAAAGAGGCTGATTCGTAAGGCTGCATCTGGCGGGTAAAATCAAATCGCTTGTTAAAGCCGAGGTTGTTTTGTTGGTTACAAAATGGAAGCTGCAGCGGGTAATGAATCCAAATCAATATGTTACACGTAATCGATTAACACTCTGCCAACTTGAAATGAATGTAGTTAGCTAATAATTCTGGAGGCTTCATGCGACGATCAGGCAACTGTTGATGTAGAGATTTAGGCCTATTCAATTGATGGATTCAAGTTGACGTCATCAATTTTGTATCTCGCTATCTACGAATCTTTTTCGAAAATGGACTTCAGAATTGAAATCTTCATCTTTATATTAGTTTATACTGAAAAATTCATGTTGTTTGGACCGTTCGGTCGCATGTTACTTTGTTTTGAATATTTAGATATTTCTTTATAGTTGACCGGAATTTGCTGCTGCAGTGAAAAAATTTTACTACAGCAACAAATTCCATTGAAATGTATAGGAAAAGCTAAATTTTGAAAATGGGGTGATTCACAGCCTGACGGCTCAAACAATTTGAAATTTTTGGCAAAGACTAATTTTGACATGAAGGTTCCAATTCTGTTATTCATTTTTGCCAAATGTGAAGATACCAATTGCCCGAATCCGAGAATTCTTATTAAAATGTGGTTTCCTAACATAATCTGGATCAATCTGTTTTTCAAAGGACCCGAAAATACAGTAGGAACAGTTTGGTGATCAAGTTTTAAACATACAAGCTGAAAATGCAAAATGTTTGGCATATGTATGGTCAGACTTTGTTCAAACAATTAGGACAAGTTAAGATTTGGTGGTATTGTACCCATGGGTCTATCTATAGCATATTACGAACTGGATAATTGGGCTTTAACGTTTTAGGGGGGCTAAACAGTTTTAGAGCACTTAAAATTTTTGGGCCATTAAAATTGTTGAGGCACTAAAAAGTTTTGGGGGCTAAACCTGCAAAAGGCCAATAACTTGTTTTTTGGTGGCTCAACTCCCCCCAGTTCCCCAGCTTTTGTGGTCCCTTATTAATAAATAGAATTAATTGCCAAAAATGCAGACTGGATAAAACAGGCTCTAGAAGTAATAAGTGTAACATGAAAAGCAATTACCGTTAAAAGTTAATAGCATTATTCTTCAGCATAATCATATTTTTACAAAAGGAAATCAAACCAATTTTTTCTATTTATCAATCTTTTCATACAAGAAATTTTTATCTATATTTTTTGATGAAAAATCACTGTAATCGAAATATTGATAAATCAAATAAGACTCCAACTGTTTGAAAGAATTAGAAATGAAATAATTATATTATGGCCTGTCTACCGCAAATGTATTGCAATGAAATGTGCTGTTCTACTGATTCAGGATAGTGAAGTGACTTAATTTAAAAAGTGACTGCATTTAAGTCACAAGGTAGCTTTCCTATTCCCACTGTTTTGAAATCACTCTAAAAGGCTGCCTTGTTTGATCATGATGATTACACATTTTCAGCCACAATTCCATTAAAACAAGACTGCACAATCAATTACAGTTCATAAAATTAACATTCTCCCCAAAAGATTCAAATGAACAGTTGCCTGATGTTTGCATTAAGGGCAGTCTGTCCTCTCAATGATTGGCTAATATAAACAATTGGTTTCCTGCCTTAACATATTACGCTACTCCCTTTGGCTGGCCTAGCTTGGTAGTGGATGACATTTGAAATTGCCAGCAAAAAACTTTCAGAAATTGCATGAAAATTTAATTACTGAAACTGAATAATCATTACGGAAGCATTTTCATATCTGTCGCACAAACCAATTAGGGAAGAAAATTTTTCTAGCCACAGCTTTACTTCAACAGGAACACAGCAATTTGACTCAAAAGCTAGGGAATCAAAGTTGTCTCTGATTGGTTTAATCGTTTAATTATAAATCAAGCTCATTAGTGCGTAAATTTTACTCCGTGAAAACAAAGTTGAGCAAAATAGGGGACAGACTGCCTTAAGTGTAAAACTCAGAATAACGACTTAAAACCTGTGCTGTTCTATGTACTTAAAATGTCCTTAAAAATTTAAATGCAATCTGAAATTATCTACAAACCAAAAAACTTTACTTAAGGTACATTTACACCTTCCATTTTCCCTCAAGGTGGAGATGAGGACCAAAATAAAAATTTGGAAGAGGCAAAACATCTGATACAACACGAAAAGCTAACAGAAAAAATGTTAGAAGAAGATCAAATCAAGCTACTTAATGAAGAGAAGAAAACCTTAGAAAAGGAAATAAAAACAAAAGAGGAAAAACTACGAAAACTCAAAATGGCTGAGCTTTATAGGAGAAAGGTTGATGTTGTAATTATTTCTGTGCCAATATTGAGCAGTTGTGGGTTGAAGTTTTATTACATATAACTGGTATTAAAATATAAAAAAACTATTATCAATAAGATGTTATTGCCATGAATTATTGAATGAATTACAAATCCAGTAGACTCTGGATATTGCTTCATATTTTCCTTAAAAATTTGTAAAATTAAGTGGACTGTGACTGTAAATTCTGCTTTAGTGACAGCTTTGCCTATTAGGATCCAATTTTCGGCATAAAATCAAAGTTTATAAATAAGGGGAATATTGTATAACAATGATTAGAATTTATTAATTTTGTATCCTTTTTTGCTGTATCTATGATTAAAAACTGCAGCTTTTTTTCTTTCTTTTGATTGAATCTGTTATTTTCTTTATGTAAATAGCTCAGCTTTCATGGGGTGGCATTTGTGTTTTCATATCAAGTGTTGCAATGGGTTTGCAGATTTTGCCATTACGGTTGAGATTTTACACAAAACTACGTATAACCAAAATAGCTGAATATATAATCTATCAATAACAAAAACACGCACAGAAGAAAAAGTCTTTGTTGAAAGTTAACAGCAAGTATTTGATAAGGCAAAACAAGAACAGAACAAAGTTATCATCAAGTGGTGTTCTTCAAGGATCATTATCTGAACCTTTTCTGTTCATCAGGTATCTCAGTGAATTTTATAAATATTATACCCACAATAGCCAGATCCATAGAATAAAAGACAAAACATTGTAGAAACTTGAAATCAGGAGTATTAAAAGCTTTTCTCTTCCAGGATGACCTCAGCAACCTTGACGAACTTATATTAAAGTGGAGACAAGCTTCTCAAGAGATACTGATTGACTTACAAAATGCTTTACCAGAGTCAAAACCACCGATTCAAGATTTATTACAGACATTCAAAATTGAAGCAAAGTTAATTGGTTATAATGAAACTGAAGAGTGTTTTATTTAAATAAATGTTTTTAACTGAAATAATTGTTACTAATTGTTATAAAACATTGTAAATTGTTGCAATTATGCTCATAATATGATTTATTTTACATTCATTCTACCTCTGTTACTGAAATTGTATCTTATGAAAACTAACAATTGAAAAGTTAATTGCAGTGAATGTCAGTATATACTATATTACATCAGGAAAAAAGCTTCAGGCAGCCAAGGTTAACACAACTAATGCATTAAACACTTGCCTTCCTTATGTGTATCTGATGGTAACTTTTGAACAATAATTGTGCAGGGAGAGGAAAATTAAGCATACACACAAACACCACATTGCAAGAAGCTCTTTGCAATGCCACAGTGAGTTTTAATCAAAGGAAATTCTTTATACAGTAGTAGTTGCTAAAGCCACTACTAGTTTTGAGGTTGAAGTTGAAACGTTGAAATTTTAAGGAAAAGATATTATAGACCATAGAAATTCATTTGTTTCTTTGTTTGTAAATTGAACGCACGAAAAAGGTGCACAATATGAAAAAATTGATTTGGCAAAATTCAGAATAAATTAAACAAGATAAATGTTGATGTTGATTGGCCGGACAGGCTATTAGAAAAATTATTAAAAATTCTAACTGCACTGTCAGTTCTACGATAAATAGTTGATTGTCATAGTTTATGTAAGCGTTTAAATTTAGTTCAACGAAGTTTAGAAATAAATAGTAAGTGCACAAAAATTGAAATATATTTTTGACTAAGCGCGAAAGAAATGCAAAAAAGAGAAAATTGGCTGCGACAAGATGGACGATTAGTAAAGATTAAAATGAGTGACAACAAATGTTACTCTAGTAAGAGTACAGGCGGACAAGATTCATTTTTTCGCTATTACCACAGCAATGCAATATGGAAATGTCACTACAGATATACAGTGCTTCCCCTCCTACCAGCACACACACGATGTCAAGGCTATAGAATATTCCTCTCTTACACACGCACAGTTAAAACAGACAATATAGTACACCGCCTTTCGGTTCACGCATACAGTCAGCTTGTGATATGTCTGGACATAGGAGACTTGTATGTCGCTTTAATGAAAGGTTTTAATGACTCTGATGAACACAGCTTTTATGAGAGACATAGACATAGAAACGAAGCTTGCAAGTTTTTGTTGATCACTAAGCGTGTTGAGAGTTTTAGATAGATATTTTGACACAGAATGATCGAAGAAAGCTTGAAAGAGGATTGAAAAGAAGATTGATATTCTTCCAAACCTCAAGTCTTTATAGTTGCAGACCACAGCAGACTGATTAAATGATGAAATGGTCTGTCAGGACAAGATAATTGTACAAGATATGTTTATAAATCATATGGAGCAAAATAAAACGAATTTTGCCCAGATCTCTTTAGGGGCTTTTTGTTCTAGAACTGGAGTTTACCCTTGACAAGGCAAGTGCATTTCGGAAATTTTTCACACCAAAATGTAGACCTGTAGCAAAATCAGAAATATGAATAAATTAAACCTCTTTCTCTCTATAGCCTTTTTTGTAAGCCAAGCCTAAAACTTTATAAAAAGAGAAATAATATACCATTGGTAAAAAACATGGTAATTTCAGTGGGGCTGAAGCACCAATTGCCCCTAGCAGAAAAGCTCCTTTCTACACGATTCGAAATTTTGTTTAACATCTTGGATTGAGTCTCCTGAAGGCGTAATGGCCCTAACACTAGCTGAAATTAAGTTGTTATAACTTTACCACCTCAAGGAGCTTCAATACACATGCTACCTGCAAAACAGCCACATTTCCATTGCTACGATTATCGTAGGCATTAAATATACGCGCACATAACTTGGCTTGTGCAAAATTGCACTGGTTACTTTTCAAAAACAGTAGAAGTAGTTTTGACTTAGAGGGCAATACAAGCACATTTTATCACAAGAAACACAAAGGTGGAACCGGGGGTTGAAGGTTCAGTAGGATATCACATAGTTCAAACTTGTGTTCTCACATATCGAATCAATTGATTTTGTATTACTCTACAGAGTGCAATCATAGCGATATTATATTTATCAGGGACGGATTTATCGGGGGTGTGGGGGTGCGACACCCCCCAATAGTATTGTGTACTTCGGTAAATTTTGCTCTGATTCCGTAAAAATGTCCTCTTTGTAGCCAGTAGTTAAAAAGTAATGTAGAAAAGTTACTTTCTTCATTTTCTTATCTTCTTTATATTAAAGCTGGAGACTGAATTAAAAAAAATGGGCGTTTCCATCTGTTTCCAGTCACATAAAGGGTGTGGCACAAAGTCCATGCCAACTATGTATGATCAACAATTTAAAAACATATTATAAAGTCCAAATGCAGTAAGCGAAGTGCAAATGGAGCACAAAAAGTTTTTTCTATCACAATGACAAGTTTATCCTTTGAATATATCCAGATAAATATTTTGAATATATCTTTTGAATATTGAATATATTCAGGAATATTTGCGATAAAATAAATAAATAATTCGCAATGAACTGTCTGAACTGTTGCACAAACAACTTCGTTTCAATACAGATGATTTGAAATGTCCCTGGCAAAAACAACCTAATAGCATGGTGTGCAAGGCAGTTAAGGACACAGAGACTAAAGACAGACATTGAACGCAAGAAACGTTTTAGAAAATGAATTACGTCAGCAGTAAAGATGAAAGCATTGAAGGCCTATGATCACTATATGATTGAACTATACGGCAAAACATAAAAAACATACACAAAGAAAAAGCCTGAAAATATCAGTGAAAGTTGATCGATGCTTCATTCAGGAATACTGGTTGTCTTTAGAAACAGTTGATTTTGTAAAGATTTACTAAAAACTATAATCCCCCTTCAAACAAAAATATAAAACATTCTAGAAAGGATAGCACTGTGAGACGAAGTGCCAAAGAAGCTAGAAGATCAGCCTTGGTTTAAATACTTTGTTTGAAAGCGATTATTGAAAAGGAATATCATGCTTTCGGTTACAAGTATTCGTGTCAATGATTTGATGACATCTCGTGTGTTATATTTAGGAATGTGTATGTGTGTTTTAAATAAGGTTTTTAAACTCAATAAAGGTACAAGGTTCCCAAAAATATAATTTGAAAAATAATATAACTTCTTTTATCCAGCAATGTTTTTCTGTCCAACTCGTCATTTGAAAAAGACTATAACAGATCCAAGCAGCATCTATTAATACATTCAATAGCAAGTAAAGTTCCAATTTTATGCTAGGTACGGTATTGTAGCAGGACCTTGTCTAATATACTAACTAGGGGAGGGAGGAATCGCCCCTCTAGCCCGAGTGACCTTTCATTATTTTAAACTCAAAGCTGTTGTCCTCCTCTTTAACTAAACAAAAGCTTGCCCCAAGCTCATTTCCCTTCGAAAATGCTATGTATTGTAGCAAACGTTAAAATATTAGAGTAAGCATGCAGTGCATTCACTTGCAGTTTCGTGCAGTACACTTTACAGTGGATTTCAGTTACATAATGGATTGAATGTGACTATGTTGTTCCAAGTATCAAAGCAATAAACAAAATTCACATTATTGATATGCTACCCCCTTCTCATGCATGCAACTTGCAATAATTTGAAATTGAAACCAATTAACGCAACAACAGGGAAAATATCAAACTGGTTAGTATTATCACTTAAACAAATTACGCAGCAGTGAATAAAAGGGAAGGAAGCAGATGTTTTGGCAAAGATACGAAACATACAGCGAATAGAATCTACTCGTATAGATTAATTTATTGTACAAATACAAGATTCACAGTTTCGTGATTTTGGATAAAGAACTTGTCCGTCAAGAGCAGGGTGAGGCAAGTTTAGTTTCTATCTTTAACATCTCGTTACTTCATTCTATTGTAACGTTAATTTGAATTGCTACTACCAAAATTAGCTAAGACTTCTATCAGTCAGAACAGAGAGTCATTAATCAACACACGATTGGCTAGTCTTTGGGTATTTCGTGTCTTCATTATCTTTCAATGTCTGACAGTAGGAAAACTTCAGTAACGAACATTACCAATAGTCCTTCAAATGCCTTGTTTCTACATTGCACTTATGAAAAACAACACTTTCCAGTAAAAATAACCAAAACTATATCCACTCCTAATGAAAATAATGTTGCTTTTCGAATCAACTATCATTTTTATCTCAAAGTGAATCTCGGAAAATTATACTGAAAATATTGTTTGGGAAGAGAGAATGAGAATGCTATTGGCCATAGGCAAAAAACGTCCTTGGTATATACATGTTGAAGGTATTGTCGAAAACTTTATTTTGAAATCCCATTGCAGGTTATAAACACTTGAAATTGACGAGGCAGGATGAGTGGCAACACCGGTAACCTTACATATGTTTTATTGTGTCCAAGCATCACAGGCAGAGAGTATCAAATGACATACGAATTGACAAATGCACAAAGAACTAACGCGTATGTTATCGCCAGCATTAATGGCATAGTGATGGTTCCTGCAGTCATTTTAAACATTTCAGTAATCATCGTTATGATGAATTCAAATCTGCTAAAAACCATTTCGAACATTCCAATACTGTTTCTTGCAATTTGCGACCTTCTAACCAGCATGATGGGCCAGTCGGCCTATATCATACAAATAGTATCTGTCCCGAAAAGATCTTCAAACTGCGTTATATTCTTCGCGGCTGCATACACTGGTGTCATTTCTGTGATTTCTTCTTGCATGGCAGTACTTGTGATCTCATTAGAAAGATATTTTGCTTTGTTTAAACCATATTTTTGGAGGGTGCACATGGAAAGGAAATATCTTGTTTTAATCATGTCACTAACTTGGCTTCCAGGAACTATAGTCTGCTTCCTGATTTTCGAAACAGGTAAGAAAGTTTTCGGCATCGCCGTTTACACAATCATGATGATAGGATCACTAATCGCAATAGTAATCATTTACATCAAGCTGTACAATCTTGTGAAATCAATGCAGAAGAAAACTTTGGATATAACCACAGTACGTAACCAACAAGCAGACAGTGGTGCCTACATTCAAAGAAGACAAGCACGGCTGTCCAAATTCAGCCTTGTGGTGATCGCAGCGTTTTTGACATTGAATGCACCTTATAGCATTGCAGCTTTGCTCATACACACCGTTTTCAAAAGAGTCACTTATATCCAAACCGTCCAAAACTACATTCATACTTTAATATTTCTTAGCTCTCTTGTCAACCCGATTATCTATTCCTGGCAATGCCCCGAGATTGGCAGAAAGTTGAAAAAGCTGTGGAAGCTTGAAAAATAAGACAAAACAAAGAACATGATTAATAAATGAAATTTGAGTCACGTGAACAGTATCATGAAGTCAATACACACAAAATAGCACATTTGCTATGGTGCAAAACAAAAAAAAGAAAACTCATATTAGTTCAATGGGATTGTATATGTGGTTAAAAGTTATTTCTACAAAAAAAAGTTATATGCAGACTTAGACTGACTTTATTATGATAATTTGAATCAAATGTATTAACTTGCTGAGTGGTACCTATGATATCTAGTTGACGACAAGAGGACATATAGAACTTATCAAAACTGATGAAGGGAGAGCTATCACTTGATAAAAAATGCTCCTAGAAAGTTGCAGCAATGTCTCACTCTTTAGAGCAGATTTATGTTGATAATTTAACGACATACTGTAATTCCTATTTTACTATGTAAAAATGAAATTACAATATCTTCCTATGATTTCTAACTATGATTTCCAGAGGATGTAGACTAAAGCTAGCGTTTTATGGTATTGTATATACAATTTTAAAAAACCTTAATTTCTGTAAAATTTCTGAAGTCACTTTCTTATGTATGTGGAAATTGAGGCTTTTCAGAAGAAGAGCAAACAGTCATGTCAAATTGTTGGGGTCAACTTTGTACCCTGTGAACAGTTGGAAGCATATATATCTAAAAGTCATCTTCAATTACTTTGACTGCAGATTCCCTAATACCTATAATTTTCCATCACTATGTTTGCAACAGCTTGCTACTTGTAATAATTTTTGTGTGCTGGATTTTTTTGCTAGCATCATTGTATCTTTTGTCTGTGATAAATCTTATCCTGGCATGTCATTTGATATTGGTATCACAATGCTTCAATTTCTTGTAAATTATCAATTGTAGAGTTTGTATTAGAGGGGGCCAGATACTGCTCTAATACCTGACATTGGTTCAAAAATTTTGTCCTTCTCCAAAGGCAGAATTTGAATTTTAGCAAGTTATTTGTAGCTAAACTGTTTGCCTCCTGCTGTTTGAAGTTTTACTGCAACCTGATCAACAAAGGAGAGGAAAATTGCCTTGGGGCCTAGGGGTCTGTTAAAATTTATGAATAATTGCTCTATATAGGGTTCAACTGAAGAATACAGGCTTTATAGGAAAAATAAAGTACTCAAATGCTAGTCTGGGTTTGATTTACATTCTCAAATTGCAAACTCGCCAATAAATTAAAACATTTTAAAATATCAACAATTCTTTCAACCTTTATACTTCTCAATCATAAATGGTTCTATTATCTACACTTCAATAATTATAAAGGGTATCAATGGTCCCAAAAAAATTTGAATTTTGTTGTTGTGTGTATTTACGTTTTTGATTACCACTGATGTCTCAATCAATGAGCTTGTTCTTTTTTATTTATTTATAAAGATGCAAATAACAAAACTCTGTTCATAGTCTGTCAAACCATAATGTTATGCCTTGACTCATTTTCCTATGCCGTGAGGCCTCCTGAGATTTTCCAAAGTATGCCCCAATGCTTTTACTCTCCGTCAACAATTAACCAACTTAAAGCCCTTTTTTCTTTCTGTGACCTTTATACTTGACCAGCTCCACTCTTTCATGGTTCCTTTTGCAAGCAGAATTGGTGGGTCAATGGTGATATTTTTACAATAACTTCCCATCACTCTTGCCATTTACATTTATACTCATTTATGCTCATTGAAAAAGATATAAAAACTGAACTGAACTGAGCTGAACTCCACCAACAATAAAGTTGACCTTGATCAAAGTATGCACCTAGTCGGTTCTTGAAACCAAGCATAGCTATTGTCTAGCCAAACAACTTCTAGATCCTTTACAAGTTGAAAGTCTCAGGTTGAAACACAATAGGAGCATCACCAATGTTCTGTATATATTCTATGTTACTTTATTTAACTCTAAGCCATATAGTTTTGTGAAAGCCACAAAACTGTGAAAGCTGCAAGAATTTCTTTAAAAGAAAAAGACTGGAGATGTTATTGATGACACTTCCTCAGACATGTCAAAAAGTTGGTAGAAAACGAAATCAGGGAAATTTGACTCATGTTCAAGCATCACTGGCAGTAGTCTGGAGACCAGCTTATGTATACAAGTTAAGATGACCAAATTATAAGTTCTGTTCCCCAAAAAAAGCACAAAGCACGCAGAAAACATTGGAAACCAACTTCTTTATCAGGAAAGCAAAAGGAAATATATATCTGTTATTGGTCAAGTTTATAGTTAACCTGTCTGTAAACAGAAAACCAGATACAGGTTAAATTCAAATATGTTCTTGACAACTGAAATAAAATAAAAACGAAAAACAATATGAAAACATGCACACCAAGATGCCAAATTAAATTTAACAGTTAAGTTAATTTCAATTTTTCATTTCACATTTTAAATTCACAGCATACTATTTTTGGAAATAAAATAATAGATCTTTTATAGTACAGATTGAAAAAATACAATAAAAAATGCAAAACAAAAAACTAATATTCTCACTTCCGTAAACTAATCTAAGAAGTTCCCCAGCCTATATTTATAATGAGAGCTTATTTCTAAGTACTTATAATTGCCCTTTTGCTTTATGTATCTCTAGAGTAATGATTTACAAAATAGTTATTAAGTACAGATTTAGTTAGTGATAAGTAAATTTATGAATTATGTTAATAATGCTAAAAAGTACAAAATAAAAAGGTAAAGTGTACGTAAATATGTGCTGAATCGCTGTAAAGAGACAGGGTATGGGGAGGCTCAACTGTATGCAACAACTGCAGCAGATTTAGTTTAAATGATCCAAATGCTTAAATGAAAAACCTTACTTGTAATATAAAAGTTGTTGTGAAATCAGGGACCATGTCAAAAGATATTTCAGATCACTAATGGAATTTTTCCAATTAGTCAAGATGTATTTTGCTTTCAAAGAATATTTCAGATGAAGAAATTCGGAAATCCTTAGACAAAGAGTTCCCAAGTGGCTTTGGCGACATTACAGAACTTAATCTTAGGGAAAAAAACTTACATTGGTGCATGTCCGTATACTGAGGCTCCCTACTAATTGGGTGGAAACAAACGTTGTCATGGTGAATTGAACTGAAGTCACGAAAGCACGTTTTGCTAGCAAGTAGCAAGTTGGCCTAGGTCAGATAAGTTTTCAAAAGTATCAGATACAAATGTTTAGAATCTGAGCTTAAAATACCAGACCGTTTGAGAAGTTAAGAATATTCCAATTTATAGAAAAATATAGCATATGTTCTTACCATAAACTCCTTTGCTTCCAAAATATTTGTACTACTCAATTCTTTCCTTTGAAAAATAGCTTAGTTAAGCACAATTTCGCCTGCCCCGTGTTGGCGCCATAATGAAAAGTTCCCATAGCGAGGCTACGAGGGACAAAGCCGTTAAAATTTTTCATTTACCGTAAATAGCTAGGGAATGGCAATATCGAAAATAATTTTCAAATTCTTTGGTATAAAAACATGCACAAATCATTTCAACGTTTTTTATGCACAAATTCAGTTAAGAGCTTACTTAAGTTAGCCAGTTTCCCAGTCTAAAAATACTGTCACAATTTGTGGACTGGGACGCTGGCTAACTTAAATTTGATTACATAACATTTTAAAGCTTCAATTAAGACAGCAGTCTTCTGCCTTGTTAAAAAAAACCTGTGTCAAGGCTTAGTAAAATGTGTTGCCGTCATAAAACAACCACTTTCGACAAGTCAAAGAAAATAACTTTGACCCGGTTTGCTGAGAAAGTGGAGAAATATACAGATTTTTTTTAAAAAAAGCTGACTGAGAACATTATAACTCGCAGATTTCCACACCTATTGTGGAGATCATGTTTTTCTAATTTTACAATGATTTACAGGTGTAAAAATTTCTTATATTATATACATTATTTATTAGTATATACACAGCTGCCTGATTATCGAATAAAGTATGAAGCTCTGATATGGCAGCATATAGCCCACACCAAAATCGTGTGCAGGTCATATGGCATTAGGCACTATATGACAGAACTACATTAAAGAATCTATCTTTGACATGCTGAGAATGAAATAATTCAGATAAATACGTCCCTAATAATGCATTTGTCTCTCCTGAAGAAGAACATAGTAAACCAGAAGTAGTAAAATCAAACATACTAGAGCCAAACCCTGACACAGGGCCTCCGACGAAGGAGGGGCCGGGGGGCCATGGCCCCCTCACTTTTGGCAGAACAATAAAGCTTTTTTTAAAAACCTTTGTTGTGATTGTTATATTTTCTCTTGGCCCCTCCACTTTCCAACTTGCGTCGGAGCCCATGTGACATCTGACATACCTAAATACAGACCGCACAAATGATAGGTTGCTTCATTTTGTCTCAACAGTATTTTATTTCACAGTTAACCTTAACACCCTATGTTTAAAGCTCAAATAAATAAAAGGGGTTTCGAGTCAACAGTATATTTTCGTTCGACAGTTTACAGCATAGATAAAAGTTAGTTCGCATTAATAAGCGTGTAGTCATTGCTTTCTGAAAATAATATCGTTTATTCTCGATTAGTCACCTAAAGGCCTTTTGGGATAACAACTTTTACAGGCAGCCGGGAGGTTGGGTGGGCTGTAACCCACACTTTTTCGCTGAAGTATGGCACCAAGCTTGTGGTATGAAAGATAATGGTGGCAAACTACGATTTATAGAAGTTTGGAGTCTCACTTAATTTGGGAATTTTCCTATGTGCACCCAATTTTTTAAACCGTTATACTGACTTTCGACCCTTCCTTAAGTTGCCTTCCTTAGCAAAAATAATCCCAGCGAAAGGGATGTACAAGAAAACACGAGAAAATAGAAGAACAAAGTATTATCAAGTTGCTTTATGTTTTGTGATACCTTCAATATTTAGAAATAATATTATTGCAATAAATAGTACATTATTGAATGCTGTAATAATTGATTGAAATTTTGTTTATCAGTCAAATAATTGATTCCGTCAGTTTTAATGCTGAATATCAACTTCAAAGAAATAATGGCAAATCTTTGCTCACATGTCTTAGTCAAAGGCTACTGTTTATCGCTCACTTTACGATAGACTTATGATAGACTTCAGTGAAGAGCCAAATGTACTCAAAGGGCAAGTATCGTTACGCTGACGACATAAAACACAGACCCAGCCCAGGCGAAAAAAGAGGAAGGACATGCGGCTGTTGTAAAGCTGTCTCACAATGCTTTTTATACATACTGAAAGGTACCCAACCCAGTAATTACGTCCAAACGTTGCAAGGTGATTCGTCAAACGATGAGGGAATGCACGTCTTGGCGCAGGGCCTGATGAAAATATTAAAAAGAATTATTCTTTTTCAGTCTTGGTCAGTGATACTCTGCCTTCTTCAAATGCGAGGCAGGATTTAGGAAAGTTCTCTTATGGCAAGCCCTGGATATCGGCTTAGCTTCTACCGAAAAAATAATCACAAAATGATAGATTGAAGTGGTCGAGTTCCATCTGTTGTTTGGGTCTCACAAACCATTTCACCCGCAGACAGTAAATAAGTTTTATATATACTGTGATGATACAGCCTTTTTCGTTGTCAACACTGTAAGTCGACTAATTACGATAAACTAATGCTTGGATGATAGTATACCAGTTAAATATTTTACTACGCGGCCTTGATATTCGAAGAATATGGGGCTGCAGAAAAGGGTTTCGGGGAGCTGCGGGGGCTTCAGCACGCATTCCCATGTTCCTGAAACTTTCAATGAAGTATTTTTACTCTAGCTCCTACTATATCAAACACTCCGCAGTAACCATCCTCCGTCCATAACACGCTCTGCTGTCCACGTAAAAATATGTGCTAAATTTATACATAGATATAACACGCGGGGAAATATCATACGGGGTCTGTTTTGTATTTGCTTGCATCGTTCTTGTCATAAGTCACCGATCTGCCAGCGTATACTTTTCGCATTCTCCACAAACGAAGCAAGCCTCGACCAATCTGAGGACTTTGCCATGCGTACACAATCGGATTTAAAAGGGAATTACACATCAGCCAGGTAGCAAAGTACCATTTAACAGCGTCGGTATAATAATCATCTTTAAACACGGTGGATAACAGTATCACTGATACACAATATGGAATGTTCATTACAAGGTAAAGGCACACGATCGCGAAGGTAAATCTAGATAGTCTTGCTTGTTTGCTGCGGATATCGTTCTCCGATTGATTCCCGTTATCCCGCGGCATAACACGCAGCTGCATTTTACGTATAAGTTTGAACATCTTAAAGTAGCTTACTGAAATCCATAGTATTGCTAAGAGGATAAGAAACGTATAGATAGCTATACCCGCGATTGGCTTCACTTCGTACATGACAATGCAAAGGACAAACGGTATCACCCAGATTAATGACAGAGGGATGAAAAGCATTTTTCGCGTTATGTGCCCGCTCCAAAAAAAGACATGGAACAAAGCAAGGTACCTCTCTGTTGTTATGACAACCACGATGAATGATGACGTCATAGCCACTATAGCAGATACATACTTTACAGCACCCATAAGAGCGCATGAGAATTTTAACTTAGTTATGTAAAGAAGGTAGGCAGCAAAGATAGGTTGACTTAAAACAGCAGTGAGCAAATCCCAGCCAGCCAGAAAAATAATGGGTATGTTTGACAGAGCCCTCAATGCTTTAGTCTTCCACAACACGACGATTACAGAGAAATTGAGAAACGCTGTGGGAATCACTAAGATGCAGTTCATATAGGCATTAATGTGGTAATGGATTATATGGTTTTGAGACATATAATAATGATATCTGGTCCGCATGTTTGTGAAGAAAGATTCACAAAGAACATTCAGTGAAGAATCATTTGAACTCATTTCCAGATGATTAGCTGATTTCGATACCTGTTCTTCACTCTTTAAGGTGTAAAAATCGCCACTTGAATTTATCTAAAATAGAAAAAAACATATGTAGATGACATCAGGGCGTTGTAGGGACCTGTTGTAAAAAGTCAAATGTCACAATTGCCAAGCTCTGCAGTTGCTAAAATTGCGTTGGCAAATAACTTTCATAAAGTTATTGAGAATCAGTGGAATTTTTTTGCATCTTGTTCGACTTTTTTGTGGCACCCCAATGAATTGCCTACTCGTAAGATTGAATGTTTACCTAGATGATAAAATCACAAGAAACATTCAACTGTTTCTTCGAGCGCAAGGATCATTGGAATCCTCCCTAGCTACATCCGTCATCCCGACTACAGTTTGAAACCGTGCCCAGTGCCACTGAATGCGCACTATAAAATATGACCAGAAAAATTCCTACAACAAAGAGTGTGCAGTCGATCAATGCGAGCCTACTTCGATTTATTTAATACTAAAAGGGCACGAGCAAACTACCCTGGCTGTGTACTTTCTCAGTTACGTAGGCAACATAGAGAAAGCGTATTTGACTGTATTTTGTGCTACTTATAGGTCTGGGGTAAGATCAAATTTCTGCTGACATAGTCCTTCTTTAAGTAAAAAATAGTCACAACGACCTAAAACAATATACAACTTAATAGCGGCTTTGCAACTCTGAGTCCACCAAGGCAATATTTTAAGGCAATATTATAAGGCAATATTATAAGGCAATATTAGTACCTCCAGAGTTTCATACACATGCCTAAACTCAGTGCATGCAACTTAGTTTGTGTTTGGGCCTTCTTGAATACATGCTTTTCTGGGAAGGTTAATATGAATGAAATGAATTAAAATAAGAGAAGATAGCATGCAAATTAGCTTGATGTAATGTATTCCTTACCTAAGAAAAGCGTTAAAGTCACATTCCTTGTCACTTTCCTGTTTGTATCCTATACAGCCATTGAAGATTTGTCGAATTTCATTCACTATATCGTTTCTCTAAAAGTTAGAGGTTCTGTTTATCAATTTGATATTGCGAATTCCTTTTTATCCTCACTCATGCCTACTGGATTTCCTTGTTTTGCTATCTGATAACGCATTTCGTTCAATCTAAGCTCACAGATTTCTTACAGATCTTTATTCATCGTTGCATGGTATATTCAGATATTGAAGATAATGACACAAATTTCCCAAAACAAGGGCAGATATGATTTCGGATAAACATTAGAAAATTTACCAAAGCAAAATCTACATGGTCGCTCTAATGATAAGTAGTTTCCAGTGGGAAGAGATAACGCAAACAAAAGGGGCATGCTATGGTATTCAAGTACACCCTATTTACATCCCTACAAAAAACAAGTATCTTAACGGGAGGCTTTCTTGGCCCCCTACGAATCTAAAAATTATAAACATGCAACCTATAGATTGAGCCTGGACTTAAATTGACTCATATGCAGGGACCCCAGAACGCATTTTGGGGTGAGGGGGCTCTAGACAAACAAGCAAACGTTTATGTTAGTTTTCTCGCCGTTATCCTTCAAGCCACAATTAAGACCATATTTTACCAAAAAGTGAGGGGGCTACAGCTATTGTATCAAATATTTCGACAAGCTCAAAGATTGAGGTGGTGTCTTACCACTTTTCCACATCTCCCTCCCACAATTATGTGCTTATACAAGATAGATCTGACAGACACCGAGCAGAGAACCAATCAAAAACAATTTAAGCAATATCCTGATATTTGTGGAAGAGATTTTTAAAACTAGATGGGTTCCTATTCAAGCATAACAAATACCTAAAAAACAGTTGCCCCCCCCCCCATAAAACGCCAATTACCAGGCAATTTACATCTTTCACTCCCACCCACTCTACTTGCAGCATTATATAAAATCCAAAGAAACGTTACGTCAGCTAACATATGCTGCCCACATTGCAGATCCATTGAAATTGCGATTTAAATGAACGATGGCAACAGAAACCAGCACGTTCTCATTCTTCGTACAAAACAGTTCTATTAATAGCTAAAATGTGGTTGGTGGTGGCTTTTGTTGCGCTAAACCTATTGAAAAACCCTAAGATTCAAAATCCACTTCATAATTTTCAACAGGAAATCTTAATGATCTATATTTCGATAAATTTCTTTATTTGATAAAACTCTAATGCGTGACGTCATCGACCATAGAATCTCTCCATCGTGAAACGCAGCAAATAAAAGGCACTAACTGAAGTGGTATTTGCTTTATGAGTGTTATAAGAAGTAGCACGGGACCTGCTGAAATTTATATAATATTCGATAAGTAATAATATTTAGGGATATAAATAATCGCTAAACAATCATAACGTAGATATATCAGGAAAGATTGATGATGAAGGACGTTCTGTTTGAAAATGATCTGCCCTTCCAGAAGTCAGAAATAGGGGATTTGCAAAGAGAATATACGGAGACGAAAGTGCTATTGGAAATTTTCTATAAAATCGCTTGCAGTCTCATGCTCCTCTCCTAAAGATGACAAGGAAACGGGCGTAAGAAAACGATTCAAGAAAACAATAATTCGCTGCTTGAAAATGCAAAAACCGAACTTAGCATACTCATCAACACTTTTGATTTCGGCAACAGAACGTAAGGCTAGGCCAGCTTATAAACAGAACATCACAACTATTTAAATGAACCTGTTTTGTTTATAAACTGTCTCGAAAATAAGGATAACAACTTACAGATCTTCCTCCGCTCGCCTCTTCATCTGTCTGCTCCTTACGTCACACCCCAAGGAGATGCCGATACAGATAAATAGGTTTCTAGTAAACAAAAACACGAGCCCGGATACTATGAGTGAAGCCAGGACTGTATGTAGTTATGCGCCAACATGCCGAATACAAAGATGCATGAACCCCTGGCGTTTTTGCAAAATTGGCTTTATTGACTGAAGTAAAATTAATCACAAGAGGCTTAGTGAATGAAAGAATATAATCTTCAAGCTGGACAAGCAGAATACCGTAAATGATCCTACCTCATACCACCGTTGAAGTTGATTCACTTAGATAAGGGAGGCGTAGATTCCAAGGCAACGTATTCTGAGCACTGCTTAGGACTAGCAGAAGGCATCGATAGTGGAAACACGATATGATTGAACAATACAAACACATTACGTTTAACGCTTCAATGAGCGGAATTCAATAAGGTGAACACAAAATGTTAACAGCAAAAAGGAAATGAAAACAATAACCCAAACAGTGGCTAGAAATTTCTTTTCGCTCAGGGCTTGTTGAAAAACAAGGAGTTTCCTATTATTAGATATCTATAACTTAAAGTGTTTGATAAAGACAGAATTTCACACAAAGTACCGTATCTTTATACCTTTAATATTTAAAAAAAAGCTTTTGGACAATGTGAACTGATTTTATCCCATTTTATAATGAACTATTCTTTTTAAATGTTATGTTTTTAGTAAATCGATACAATAAGTTAAATAGCGGACCCTCTTAAAAAGCACCCTCGAGTGACTGTGGCCTTCCTCTGTAAATACTTGTATTATCATCTGTTTCACACGTATTCAAAGGTTTTAGTGTAATGTAAAAAACTTCGAGTAAATAGGAACGTTGTTTGGAAGACACGAAAGAGCGCTGGTTTGAAGTTATTAAAGCATTTTATATCCATAAGTCACCAACTATTGTAA